TTCAACAAAATATTAACCACCGCTTTGAAGTTGTCTAATACAAAAAACAAAAACCAAGTCATGTCTTTTTTCAAGGGTCGCAGCTGTTACTTAAGTCAAAGAATAAATTTTTCCCCTTCAGCGAGATTTTGTACTTTAATTCCCTTAGATACTTAAATGAGCAGAAATAAGGTGTTGGATTTGCTGAAACAATAAAGGGTGAAAATACCCATGCAAACAAACTTCAGATAACTAAGCGATTTGAGCAACTGAAGCCATGCTGACTGCATTATTAAAAATGCTACAAGAATGCTCTGAACATGCTCTGTTTTCTCAGTGCTTGTGGAAAGACTCTGATTCTACAGATGTATAAATCCAGTTTGATTTTGCTTATCTTGTCTCTCTTACCCATCAATTATCCCAATATGCTCAGATTCACCTCCCATACGTAGTAACAAACCATTCAATTGCAGCTTACTAACTGAGAAGGCAACAGTTAGCTCTCCTTTCCCACAGGCACAGCAGGGTTGGCTGAGCGTTTTGTTGTTTGTTTAATTTCCAGCAAAGTGATCTCAGAAGGACAAATATTAACTCTCTGCATTTGTAACAAGCCCTATTCGTGAGAACCAAGTTCAAAACAGGACTTTTTCACTCCAAAATGAAAAACATCTCTTGGCATCATAAGAATTCAACTGGACTTCAAAGACAATATGAGACGCAAGACCTAACTACAAGTGCAGAGAGCTAAATTTTTAAAGCAATCCAAGCGCACAAATATCTATGAGGTTTTGGGACTCTCCATAACAATTTTAAGAAATTCACTATTGGGCCTTAAAAAAATCAAGCACTCTCTCCTTTCATCGATTCCCTTCCTTAGTTGCACTTGTGAAAGACTATGACAGATAACAAAATACAGACAGACCGGAAGTCGAGTGGGTTGAACACACAAGTGAACTTACAGAGGAGTTTTGCACCGGCATTTTTATGAGAAAGCCACAATTGCATTCTCTACCTCACTCTTCTAAGGACTCCGTTTTTGCACAAATTGACCCAGAGGGAGCGATCTTTAAAAGAGGATGGAGAGGAATCAAAGGTGTTCCAAATCTGCACAAGTGCAACACAGTTTTACTCTAATTTAAAACTGTATGGTAGCAATACAAACTGTTCACTGGAATTATTTATTTAAAGATCACCACCACAGTGGTAATCATTCTGTAGTTAAGTACTGATGTTTTGAGGCAAAGAAATGTCAGGGAGATACCTGCAGCTATAAAAAAGGCCAGCAGTTTTATCTTGCCATCTCAAATGAAAGTGCATATACTGCCTTTTGCCATATCACAGATTTCTATATTTCAAGTCCTCCTACGCAGCCAAATCTACTGAGAAAGTCTATACAAAGTCAGCCAAGAAGAGTTAAAAATAAAAGTTATCTTGTATGACTCCCTGTGCACATGGTCTCAATCACAGTGTAGCATCATTCTCACCATAGTAATTATGATATTACATTTGCTGTCAAGCCTTCACACCAAAACAATTCAACAACTGTTATTATTCTTCGGAGCTTCATGGATAAAAAGCTGAGCTTCTAACAGACGTAATAAGTGCTACTTTTTGGGTTGCACGAAGAGCCTGACGGATGGAAGGCTCATGCCTGTAAGGAAACCTACCACACAAGAGCACCCAGGCTGTGACAGAATCATACAATCTTTTAGGCTGGAAAAGACCTTTAAAATCATCCAGTCCACCCATTAACCCCGCACTGCCAAGTCCACCACTAAACTATGTGTGATCCATGATTAAGGCTCAGGTGATGGTATTCCCATGGGATTACACAGGGACCATCACTCTTAAGACACAGGGACAGTCAGTAAAAAACTGCAACACAATTCTTATCTCCTCTTTAAAGTCTGCTTAGTAATGTAGCATTTAATAATACAATCGTTGCTCCTCCATGCTATGTCTTCTCCAAGTCAATGGATTCACCTCCCACTTCTGTGGCCTCTCTCAAGGTCAAGGATAGAGCACATCATTGTGCTCAAAATGAGGGTTTGTTCTGGATCTGGTCAAAATGTGGATTTAACATCACATTTTCTCACACACCTTCAGTGCGCCACCTATGTCGTGCAACATGGTGCTCAAAATCTGAGGTCGGGTCAGTGCCTCACACCCATCTTCCCTGTTTGTCCTACTCACTCAACCTATGGCCGCAGCTCAGCCCCTCACTCCAAGTTTTCCTCCATTTGGTACTCTCACGTTCCATCACCAATGTCATCAGATCCCAGCCTTCAGTATCACTCCTCTGCATCTCCCTGTGGGATGAAGAGCAGCTCTGCCCCCTGCAGGGCCCAGGATATCGGGACTTTCGGCAAACCTTCTACAGCTACCTACCCTCCCTAATTTCAGCCCCCTCCACCAAGTCTTACTTTTGCTCTGACACTTGGAAATCACGAGTTATATATTAAAACGATTCTGAAGAAATCAATAGTGTGTACAAAAGCAGTATCCTGAGCGCATTTTTCAGTTTTCAGTCTCTCTCATAACTTAAGTACTTTGTAGCATGAGCCAGCTTCCATCCATGCCAGCACATGTCCAGTGTTTTGAAGCAGCGCTTGCATTGCTATCATCTGCAGCCTTCACAACAACATTTTGATATCCAGCAGGAAAAATGGACAGGAAGTAGGTACCGATCATGTTCCAGCCAGGCTAGATCAAAACAGGGGCAGCAGACAGCTGTCCTTCAAAGCACATTTTCCTTTAAACAACTACATCAGTAGGCAGACATACAGGTAATGGACATCTTATTTACAAACAGGAAGTCCTTATAGGCTTACACAAGTTTCCAGCTGAAAACGGCATACACAGTCTCATCGATTATGGTCTTTTCTGCCAAGGAAAAAAGCAACCCAAGTTTATTAAGGAGGAATGAAACAGAGACAAACAGCACTGCCTGCGGCGATATCCCTGCAGCGGCTGAGCCTTTGTGCAGTGAGTTCAGGGAGGTGCCGACATCCAGCGGCCGCCTGAAGGCTCCGCAGTCCTCCTCGAAGACGCGCGGCTGGGCTTTGCCCGCCCCGGACGGGCACGCCAGCCTGCTGGGATGTAAGCAGCTAAGCAGTAACACTGGTCACTCGAATGGAACTTTGGAAGTTCAAATGCCAAAATGCAGAGGTACCATCAGCAAGGCATCCAGCATCCCAACACAACCTCTTTTCCAGCTACCAAAAGCTAAGCTCAAGCCAAGAAACAACTGCCTTGAAAACTCCAGAGGTAGTTAAGAAGCTGCAGATCATTTGAAAGTTTAATTTCGTATCAGCTCCAGACCCAGTTTTCAGACCTAGAAACTTTCACAGTTTTCTTCCCTCACAAAGAACTCAGCATCTTCTTTGCTTCTGCTCTCCTTGCAGTCTCCTGTGACTGCTATGCACACACATAGGCACATCGTCACTTATGTATAAGAATACTTTATTCCTACTCAGTATTCTTCACCTCAGAATAAAATGTGTAGGAGACAGGTAGCCCTGCAAATTAATTAGACAAAACTCCATATATGTTTGGTACACAGAAGTAAAGAGCACATCTTTTAGAGAGCTATTTAGGGGCCAAAACAGGCATGTTTTCAAAGCAATCCAACCTCAAGTCATGAAGTCCCATAAGCCAAAGGCACTAATAGCAGACAACCTACAATAAGAACAGAACAATTCTTTCAGAAGTCTTCTTCCCAATACTGCCTTTTAAGACCAAAAAAAAAAAAAAAACACAACTGTTTGTTAATACAATTGTAGCTGCAAGTCAGAAAAAAAATCTTTTAGGAATACAGACAGGGAGAAAGACAAAAAGATACAAATACAGCTGCAGAAGGACACCAGCACAGAATCATACCATCTGACTCCAAAAGTGAATGAAAATAAAAGTCAGTGCTCCAGTAATAAAGTGTATTACAACCTACCCATTTAAAAAATATAAATATCCTTGCATGTTGAACACTTGATTTCATTTAAGCACTAGGGTTAAGAACTCCCAGCAACTTCATCTGGCTGCTGTAACAGCTCTCCTTCCTCTATTTCTCTCTCAGTACCATAACAGTGTATTTGAAATACAACTCTGGCAAGCTTTGCACTCCTGTCTACTGGTTCTCAGCTTCACATACACAGGCTGGCAGGTATACCCCTTTGGATATACTGTTATCTCCAACATTATATTCTGCTGGTTTATTGCAAAGTTATTCAAATGCTGATTGACAATTATTATAAGGTATTTCTGGGCAACAGGGGGTCTTGTGCTATGGCCACCAATCGCTGAGAATAGTCGTGAACAAAACCCAGGTGTATTCAAAAAACAAGACATTCTGCGTAACACTTTTTTAAACCATTAACATGAGCAGCTCTGGCAGATTCACTAATATTTTCCACTTTAAAATTTTATTTCAACAGTGTATTATCAAAGCTGGCTATTCCTTCTTTTCACCAAACACTTTCCAAGGCATTTCTATGTACTGACATACACAGATCCAATGACATCATCTGCGCTGCAGATGTAAGGTGGGAAATGTAAACTGTTAAAGATTTCTGGCAAAGTTTTTCATGATCTCTGAAAATGGCTCTGTGAGCACAGGTAAATATCAATACCAATATCACATTAAAATATAAAAAATATAAGAGTATGTAGTTTTAGAATAGTTTTTTATACATAATAACCTATTAATTTACTACTTTCTGCAATAGATGGAAAAGTTATCAAACAATAATCTGGAGTTCTACTTGACAGCACTCAAAAAACAAACCACAAAACCTTGATAGATCACTTCTCCTAAATGAGGTTTACAGTACGTAGAACTGAAGAATTCAATTCAACAGCAAAGAGCTGTTGTCTTCTAATAAAACAAATGTCAAGTAGCTAAAAAAAAATACACAAAGGAGAAACAAAGCTTTTGTATCAAATATACACATACATACAATTCTCAGAAGTAAAAATAAAATCCATTGTCTACAGATTATGAAGCAAGAGGAGAATGGAGCCATTACCTCTTGGTTATCTTTATTCTGATTTGCCCAGAAAATCTTATTATAAAGTGTCTCCATGGAATTGCTGGAATCTGATCTGTCAAAACAATGTCGATCCAACACTTCTAAGGTGTGTAGAACGCGGCTAATGGTCACCCCTAGAGGTGGAAGTTAGAGAGAAGAGAGGGTTAAGGTAAAATATTTTACTTAGGAAGACTCTGCATTACCTCCATCTCTCAAATCTATTGCTAGCATTAATTCTGGTGCAACGGGATTACACTCAAAGAACAGATATAAACCATAAAGCTCCAACATTTGAGTTCTCTTACCTGCAGCTGATTCTTGGCACTTGTCAAAAGACCACCGCACCTCCACAGCACGACCTCTTTGTTTTATCTGCTGTTCTACTTCATATATCTTTGCCCGAACCTGTAAAAAAAAAAAAAAAAGAAGCTGCTAATTAGCTAGTGGTTGGCAGTCTATTTTCATTTTAAGCTTCTGACAGCTTTCTCGGCAGGAGCAAGGTACTCTACGGTGTTCCACAACACTCCCTACATTTGGCAACAACAAACTGAAGTACATTCTGTTCAAATGTTTTTTTCAACATGTTACGGATCTCCTTGTACAATAAAACATTTTTTCCTTATACTAAACTGAGCAAAAGTTAACTTTCAGCATGTGTGAAAAGTGGTACCTCACAATACGGTACACCAAGCTTCCTCATATTGCCATTTTACACCTTAAAGTAATTTCAGTTTAATAACAGAAAACATCTGAACATAAATAAAATATCTGATATTTTCACAAAATTGGTACCTGAATGAAGTACAAAGTAAGGTCATCAAAAACAAGCACACCAGTCTTGAAACTATACCTACAGAAGTATCTAAACTTGGCTGTAGTCCTAATACTCACAAATCATTATTTGAAATATAAAACAGATCTTAATAATCCAATAATGAAAAAAGCTTACCTGCTGATTAAATGCTGAATTTCCACCTGGCATAGGCAAACTAGATGGAGCAACATGAAGTAAATCCAGAGGTGAACCTGGATTAACGCTCTTATTTTCATTTGTGGAATAATTCCACACCAAGGCACTTGGACAACAAAGTGTTACAGTCTGCAAGCAACAGTACAAAACAGAAGTAATTTATTTTTCTGAACATGTGTGATAAACAATACGAACAATAAGAGAGTCCATGAGACTAGAATCACTTTCAGTCTAACTACTACAATGAGAGAAACAAAAGGACAGGCCACTGCAACATCCATTTGAGGAAATTCAACTACTACATTGTTCTCCTTCTTATTTTAAAAAATACTTAAATATATATGTGTTCAATTCCCTTTTGCATTGCTTTCACAACACCATCAAAGAACATCACCAAAGGTTAATTTCAGTCAGATCCTTTCTGTGAAACATGAAAGGCTTTAGAAGAAAAGAAGTAATTTTGGTGTTCAGCTTAGAGAAAGAAGCAGAGAGAGAGATGCAAATATTCTCCCACTTTCTTTCCTCAGAGAGCACTGACTGAGCCTTCCCTACATACAATCCAGCCTGCCTCCAGGCTCTGGACTTTGACGACTGTCAGAAAGCAGCAGCCCTCAGAGAGGGAGCTGCATACCACAAAAAAGTACTCTTTTCCTGTGGGGTGTTTGAGCACTGAGAAAGGTTGCCCAGAATGGTGGAAGTGATGTTAAAAATCCAGCTGGACATGGTCCTGGGGAACCTGCTCTAGCTGACCCTGCCTGGGGAGGGCAGGGTGGACAACATCATCTGAAGAGGTCCCTGCTGACCTCACCCATTTGGGAGATTTTGTGATCCCATGAACATCAGCACACTCCTGGTACCACCTCCAGCATACCTCTGTGCAACCCCCAGAGAAAGACAACTGAACAAACAGCAGGCGGGTTGGAGGAAGTCTCACCAGGTCAGCACAGGGAAGGTAAACAACTGCAGCTCTTCATACAAGTCCTTTTTTAGAAAATAATTACTCTCTCGACAATTCTGCTATTGCCAAGCAACAAGCACAAGTGAACAGTCTCTTCTGTTACACAGTTTAAAAAAATGTGGAAGTTGATAAGGCAATATAAACTGCTCATAATTCTGACAAAACCAAAATTAAGCAGCCTGCAGTGGCACCAAGCATCAGTGACAGGCTGAAAGAAGCAAGGAAATCCTCGAAGGTTAGAGCTTGCAGGAGTTAGGTGATGCTGTCTTCTGTCCAGCCACACTCAGCAAGCAGATGGGGTCTGGCAGAACCAAACGGGTTCACTTGTGATGAGAACACAATGAGATGTGCAGACCATTACTGCAAGCAGAAACTTTCCACCACAGAGCAAAGGCTAGGCCATTCCTGGCAGCAGAGTTGCTCCTTCCCACAGCAGAGGTGTAGCAGGCAACACAAGCTTCTCCAGGTGGCTCCACCATCACTGCTCAGCCAGTGTGCAGAATCCACCCTCCCACTTACCTCACACTCACTCAGTTCTCACCCTTTCATGGACAGAGGTATATTCAAGCCACAACTAGCACAACTTGTCACACCCAAAAACCACCGCTTTCCAATAAACTGAATGGTTATAGCCTTGAAACAAGAAAACAAAGAGCCTTGAAAACAAAGAGCAACAGAACATTGGCCTACCTGCAGCATACAACTAAGTCCATATACCAGTGGACGGTGTTGAGGGCAGGAGAGGAAATCTGAGCAGGCCAGCTGTACCGGGCTCACCATGGGACCAGGGGCAGTTGGACTTGGGGCTGCCAGAGGAGGGTTACTTGGTCCAATAATCATATGAGGAGAATGTGCAGCTACAAGGTTAGGACCATCACTTAGCAATAAAGATAGGCGTCTGGCACAAAAATAAGCAAGGCGACGGGATAGGTAAGCTGACTGAACAAACTCTTCTGAATACTGAAATTTAGAAAAAATGCATAGTTCACTACACAATCTACTCCAGGTATTCATATTCTTCAACAATCTAACATTGGACATGAATAAACTGGAAGGGATCACTTCCAATATTTAAGAGTCCAGAATTCAAAAAAAGAGAAGAGCAGCTCAAATGCAAATCTGCATTTCTGCCTCTTAAAAATTTCATCTGCCCTCCAGGACCAGTTACAGTAACAGATTCCTGCCAGCTAATCAAGTTAAAGATCATAAAGAGTGAACCTTTTAAAGGTGTTTATAAATTCCAAACATGCGCTATGCAATGTATTTCCATACACATCCTAAGTAAAAATGTTCATCTAAATTTTACCACCACAAATATAAAAATCATTTCACAAGTACAAATCATACTTGTATTAATTTTGGCTTTAAAGCATACAGGTACCTGCAACATTAGCGGCAACAACAGCTTAAGAAGATCATCATCAGTGGGTCTGATTTTTTCCAAAACATCCAGTATCCATGTCAAATACTCATGTCTCTCAAGCATTCCTTCCTTAAAGGATTTAAAATGACACATCACATATCAGCTAGGAGCACTAAACAAGCAGGTGTGTAACTACAAGTTTTATTTCATTCCTGGCTTAGCTCTCATTGCCCATGCCAGCACAGAGCCAAAACCCTTAACCACCACCACACATGCAGGAAACAAGCCATCCTCATGGCAGTCCTACAGATAGGGAAGCAATTGTGTACGTACTTCAATGACCTCTGCAGTTCAAATTTAGCAGGCTGCCTGACCTACTGCTGACAGCCAGACTCTCTTCCAGCAACCCTTCTGCCATTTCTGTCCTTGAGTAATTAGAGAGTAACTAGAGAGTTATTCTGGCCTGGAACGATGTGGGACCAAGCAGCCAGGCCACCACTCTGACACCCATGGCTTGATGTTCTACAGTGGCCTCAGCATGATCCACAATCATTAAAAACACCCTTAAAAGATGGAACGACGTAGAAGAGAGAGTAATTTGAGTATATTGCTGCAATAGCAATCAAGCATACTAAGCAAATCAAAGCTTTTTCAGATAGCAAATCATTAAAACAAATTAGCATTTAGAATTTATGCAAGTCTTATGACAAAAGGTACCATTAAGTTCTAAAATGGAACCTTCCAAGTACAGTAACCTAAAAAGATTAAAAAATAAAAATTAAAAAAAAAATTTAAAAAAGACACAAACAAAAAAAAATCATGCACTTCTTAAAAGTATTACCTGAAACATATAAAATGACAATTTTTCATTATATTCCCACTGCTTCAGTGCTTGTTCCATGTCTTGAGGCATCACTACAGAGCTGTTGCCTTGGCTGGAAGTCACATGATAGAACTCCGCAACCTTTGCCAGTTGCTCTCGAAGGTATTTAGTTATAATTTGAGTCCATTCTATAAAAGAAGTTTACAAATAGACACTTCAGGTGACAAAAGGCTTCCTTCACAATGAGAACTGAAATAAACTTACATTGCCTTCATCACCAAAAATATTCCTCCAAAACATTAACTGTCAACTGTGTAATGTAGCACCTATTGTGAGTTAATGGGCTTCTCACATGCCTCCCCTGTGCATTGGTCTCAAAACACTGTCAAGTGTGCAAGCAGCATGCCAGCTTAGCATGACATAAAAAGCACTGACACAAGGTATGCCTTTAGGGAATCACCTGTCTCTTTCATCAGATTTCAGCACTCAGCCACAAAACAGCCTTGAAACAGATAAAATACACTTCATTACTTCCTTCCATCTGGACCTTTACTCCCGTCTTCCCTCCTCCTCCAAATACAGGCAATATAAAACTCGACAGGACTTTGCACAAGCAAAGGGATATAAGACTGTTCTTTCTGTAACCACCTTGAAACAGACTACTCCTCCAGATTTTTACTCTGACAAGAGCCCAAAAGCTCAGGAGCAGTTTATCAGGTCAGAGCAACCAGCACGGTGCAGAGGTCTGCAAGTAAGACTGATTATCTTTCCTTTGTCCTAGATAAGCCAGTAGGTGCTGTTCAGCAAATGCACAAACCTGTTAAAAATTATCAGTTTTTCTCTCTGCTTCAGCAGTGATTCTGTATTTAGCATAGACTGGAGAAATTAGTGAACAAAAGTACATAAAGCTCTGGGAAAAGAGGAATTATTAGGAAGGCATCCCCTTAACAGTAACTGGAACAACCAAGGATATTTGTCAGTATCTGAGAGACAAACATTTGACAGAACTGTATTTAACAAGCATGCAGCACATTTTGGAAGAGCACACTCTTATGAATACATAACGCAGTTGCTTTGACAACACAAGCCTGTTTATTGTCAGAGTTACAGAACTACCACTCTCACACACAACTATTTTCACTGTTTACTACTCACCTCAGACATCAGCTAGTGCATTTATTCTTCTTCCCCTTTGCATTTGTAATTGGCAGTTCTGGCATTTCTGTCAGCATACACAGACTATAAGTTGAAAGCTTTTCTATCCAAATCCACTGAAACTTCTGTGTGAAGCTAGTGGGCTTTAGTGTTTTCATAGAACATTTTGTCTACATTTACTTCAAACATTTGCTCATTTTTGGAAAAACAATTCCAAATCCACTACCTCAAACTTATTTCATATGACAGCATGAAAGAATGATTTTCCCAAAGCAATTACTAGTATCTCTGTGCCACTGAGTTAGAAACAATGCAACTGCCTTTCTGTTACCTGAGGCACAGATACAAAACATTTTGGGAACTGTCAAAGACTGCTCAGCAACACACAGCAAACTACTCCCCAAACAGCTCTCGGCAACCTTTGCAAAGCAGGAGATTTGGACAGAGGATGTAATCTCCAGTAATCTGTCTCAGAACACCTGCTGATAAAAGTCAGGCACCTTAGCCCACAGACACTCTTACTGGCTTTGTTCACCCTCGCTGTACAGTGAGTGTGCATGGCACCAGCCTGGAGCAGGAAGACTTGTCTATACCCAACACATGCAACCACATTGCACCTTCCTGAAAAGCATAAACTCCTTTTATTTTACAGAGATACTAATACCAGTCAGAGCAAACTAGGCCTAGATCAATTTATCACAACAGAGTGCACAACCCTAGCTTTCTTCACCTCCTCCTCACTACCCTTTCTCCCCACACTCAAGAAAGAGGGCGTTTAAGTACACCCTAACAAGTGCATGTCCCATGTCTTGGCACACAGCATCACCATTTCACTCCTCTAAAAGAGCCACAAGTGCTCTCTTATAACTAGCAGAGCTATTTATGACAGATTGGGAAAGCATCAGCCCTCTCTCACTGCCTGCTCTGAGTCTCCTGCTAGGGTCTACTCCACAGAGTGCTTACATCATTCAAGAGAAAAGTAAAGACAAACTGAGAGGTTGGAGAGAGGGGCTCTTTCAGCATCCCTTGGTGCAAAGGACAGAAGGAGAATTTCAGTAGCGCCAAAATAGCTCAAAAGAGCCTGAATCCACCTGTGTCAGAAGAAGGAGTGGGGAACTGTGCTGGTGTCTCATCAAAATAACACTGACCTCACCTCAGAGAACCTAACCCAGCACAGCAGCCTCCCAGAGCTCATCCACCAATGGAGGAACCAGCCTGACTTGATACCTGGACACGTCTCTCTTCTTTCTTGTCACCCCTATATGTGGAATCCCCCTTGCTCTCTGTTTCTAAAAATCAGACTGATTTTTAAAAATACTTTTAAACTATCACCAAAGAACAAACACAGTATGTTTGCCAGAAAACAGACAACATATTTTTGTGGATCTGACTAGGTACGCAGAGTGAAAATGAGTCCTATGAGTCTAAAAAATAAAGAAAATTAAAAAACCAACAAACACCACAAACGCAAACACCACAAAGCAAAGTTTGAAAGAAACAACAGAACAACTTAGCAGGAAGAAGCAGACATTTCTCACAGCAGTACAGAGATGCTGCTAAGCAGCAGTGAAATCATCTGAGCACAGTTATTTCAATAACAAAGAACGAAAAGGTTCATTCCAGACAGTAGAAGAGCTGTAAGTACCATGTATAAATTGTGAGAGTAAAACTCCAACTTTTACAATAAAGTTGCTTGGCCCACTGGCTTAGTGCCAGACTGTGTCACTAAAGGTCAGTACTTCAAATAAATACATTCTATGATTCTGTGATTCTATGATTGCCACCTATGTTCTAATAAATAAGCTTTGAAATTCACACTTCATTCCAGGTTCTTTACATTAGCAGTTCTGTCCATTTCCTGATAACATTCATTCCAGCACTCCTGCGATTCCCACAGAGACTAGTGTCAGTGGTGAAGAAGCAGCACAGTCATCTCCTCAGATGCTGCCCCTGGAGACTCAAGGTGGAATCAGCTGGGAGGAGAAGCAGCCAACAGAGCAGTATTTATGCTGCATGGCTCTTTGTACTTTCTGACACACATTTCTAATTGAAATTGATTTAAAAGACCTTTTTATTCCCCTTCCCACTACAAAGATTCCTCCCTGGATACATAGTAACACTGAAGCTGCGAACAAGAGGAGCGGGCCTCTTCAGTTAACATTATGCATTTAGACATTAGAGATGTTTATTTACCAATATTTGGGTCAGTGGCCTGGCGTTTCTTGATCTTAGCTTCAGAAATAGCAGCGTAGTAGGCACATGTCATTTTGATCAGCCATGCTGCTCGCAGCAGTGGCACAGAATATTTTGCCAAGTAAGCAAAAACATCTTCTTTTTTACTGAGAATAGGAACCTGAAATGAAACAGGAAGCAAGTTATAGCACACAGCCCAGACAGCAGCTGGCACCTGTGGGCTACCCCAGCCTTCTGCTGCCAAATCCCAGGCTACCCAGAGAGTGACCTGGAGAGCTGCCTCTTATCAACCTCAGGACCCACTATGCTGACTTCACCCACTGTCCTGGCACATAGAAAATAAGAGACTTGACAAAAAAAAAAAAAAAAAAAAAAAAAAAATACTGCCCCCCACTCCCCCAGGTTTCATGAGGAGCATCCTTCTCCAGCTCAGATTTGCCTGCAGGCCACAAGCAAACTTCTCAACGCAGCTGAAGACACCCAAAGCACAGAAATACCCTGCATGCTGATACTCAGAACCTCTGGAAAATGGAGTTATATCAAGGTTTTTGGGTGACAGCTCAATTTCACAGACGCTGCCAGTCTCATGGGTGTCCCTGGTGCAGAGGAGTCTATGATAACCAGAGCACACCAGGAAACAGCCTGGCCAGCTTAATACTGCCTGCAGCAGCCACACATGGCAGAGCAGCTGGTCCCAAAAGGCCTCCAGGTAGAGTCACCTACTCGGTTACAGCAATCCTTACACCTTTCTGCTTGAATGAAGAATAATCTTTAAATGCATTTTAAAGTAACATATATAAGAACAAGATATTTCAAACTCAGCAGAGACAGAAGGGAGTAGAGGCACAAATGATACCCTCCCAAAAAGTCCTCATTGCTCCTCCAGGCACATTCAACCTTTCTAACAGTGTGCTTGAAGAACAGAGGGGCATCAGTGCTGAAGACAACAGCAAACAAAGCACTGACCCCTTCTGTAACATTCTTCAGTGGTCAGTATAGGGACTCTACAGAATCAATTTCAGTATTCTTAACATGCTTTTTTACTGTTATCAGCAAGTTTACATATCTGCTTATTAAAAAAAAAAATCCTTAAATAATGAAAGAAATAACTAGCACTTTTAGTCACAAAGTTAACCCCTCAGAATGTTAGAGGGAACTTAAGGTGGTGGCATGCTTGCCACAGCAAAGCTCATTTTTCTGGTGGCTCTATTGGTAGCAAAGCAACACAGGTTCCTCTCCAGTTGCATGGCAACAGGCCAAAAACTGGTGAAACTTGCACCTTCTGTTATTTTTAAGCTCAACAGTCTTGGAATAAGGGTTCCCTGTTTCAGTTTAATTTATACTCAGAATAACTCCCAGATACTGTAAAATTAGTTGCTTGTACACAGAGCTTCACAAAAGGAAGGCATGAATAACAGCAGTAACACAGTTACTGTGTTCTAGACACTACCCTGGATGAGTTTTAACAATCATTTCAAATTTATCTTGTACTGCTATTCTGAACAGCTTGCAGGATCCAAAATGATAGCTCAGAATTGCTTTTCCAGTTATACAAACACTGCTACGAAGCAGCAAGAATTCTTCGTAATTGAAAACTTAGACAAGAATGCAACTAAGACTGTTTAACAAAGTTTGTTAACACAAATACAAATTTAAATGTGAAGAGCATGCAGAGGGGTTGGAGTCAGCAGGCAGGTTCTTTCAAGAATGCATGGTTTTCCTAGAAAATTATTTCTTTGCCAGACATGAGCATTTCTGTAAACTATTCCTTTGCTTGAGAATGTATGACATGAAGCATACAGGCAAAGAATCTGGCTGTCAGAAAGATGAACATGCCTGAGCCAAAGTACAGTCATTCAAAGGAACTTTATACCAGCTAGATCAGAAGTTCCCTTTGCCCAGGCACCTTCCTTGCAGATAAGGAACATGCTGCACAGCAACAGCTGCCTCCAGCACCACTCCAGCACATTCAGAAATACTGTACCTACTCTTACAGCCCCATTCAGCACAATCACACACCCAAGAAACAGAGGGAGAAGCATTCTGATACCTTTTTTGCTAAAAGAGTCAGTGGTTTACTTCCTGCTAAATCAGTGAACCAATTGTGAATTGCACTCTGAGACCGAGCAGTAACCAGCCAGTAGTTGTCTTTGGCATTTACTTGCGGTTTCTTCTTTCCTGTGTCCTGGAAAGTGTTAAGTTTCAGCTTTTCCGCTAGTATGCTGCTAAAGTAAGCGCCAATCTGGTGGGTAAAAGAGCAAACACACATGACAAGCCAGGAAAAAAGCATCTTATCATATATTAATGCATGAAGGATTTCCATCTGAATAGATACAGTCATCACTCTAGTACAGGCTATCAATCTAGTAAGATTACCCTTTAATACCCCGCAGCTAGGAGATGGGGATTCACGACATTAAGCACCCATGCAATGCTTCTGTATTATCACTGCAGAAGCTACAGGTGAGCAAGACCAAGCCAGAGACAACCAGGCCTCAAAGATATATGCAGCTGACACTTAGGACAGGTCACTGTGAATGCCCAGAGCGACACATTCCTCTGGCATGTGAGTGTCTCAGACTTGGGCCCCAATTCAGCTTATTCTAAGAGTGTCTCAGAACATTCCTCCCCTTCTAGACTTCATCATACCATAAATGCATAAATACACATTTCTCACTTCTGTTTACAACTAACTACACTGTCACAAGAACTGCATTCATTATCTTTCGATCATCAGTTCCAGCAGATAAAAGCTCAAAGATATGAGTTAACTGGGTAACATTCTGACTTCTGTTCAAAATACCTCCACCACCACTCCCCATCTCCAGAATGAAAAGCTTCACAAGGTTTGCTTCCCCAGTACTTTCAATCCCAAAACAGCAGGAAAAAAAAGAAAATGATTGAGGTTTTACTTCTTATATAAGCTTATTTACTTTTCAAAATTACTGTAAGAAAATTCAATTTTTAGGCCTGTCAACAAGAATAAACTGTTTGATTTTCTAATAAATATATTTATAGCTGGGTAATTTTAAAATATATAAAAAGCTTTTAGGAGATACTGAACTTATTTTGATAATTCTACACTTGAATCTTTCAAGTAACTCTAAGTACTTCCTTGCAAATTTCTGTTCTACTTTTCAGACAGTCCTGTTCAATAGTCAGAACATGAATAATTAAAATATAAGACTGAAAATGCCTGCAGGTAACAATTCTAGAAAACAAAATCAGAAGAATGTAACAGGAAAACCTTTAACATCTCAGGAATAGCAACCCTGTCATTTACTTGTAACTTTCCTCCTGCTAAAATAAAAGTGCATCACTGTATAAGTAAATTCACATTTTCCAATAAGCTGTAAAGTGTTATTTATTTAAAAAAAACAAACAGCAGGAAATTACTTTGTCCGAAAACATTTTTATAAGCTTCTTGACAACATTCTCCCTTAAAACCGATCTGGGCAGCTCCCTCAAAGAGATACAAGATTTTATTTTTTTTTTTCTAAGCAGCTATTATCTTCAGTTTGGAACATAGTAACTAATATTTTAGTGCTTTTTATTGCTCTTTTGTATCTTACACTTCTTTGACCCTAAAAAAATTCTTAAAAAAAAATAAAACAAACAAAAAAACCCAATAAAAAACACCACAGGAGAGCTAAACTAAATTTTAATAAATAATCCAAAAATGTACTTCCAAGAGACCTGGACCACAGCAACCAGTTTCTCCTGGCAGAAAACAGTCTGATGACACAGATACAAGACCAAAGCAAGCTAAAGATGTATAAATACTAGGGACTTCCAGAGAAAGAGTCACGACTGTAAGTGAAGCAAATAAAAGAACAGGAGCAAAAATTAATGTCTCTTCTCTGATGAAGTGTGCTAGTTATGTTTTGTCTTGGAATCCATGTTTTCCTCTGAAGACTGATAACAGTAGGTAGCAGAAACACAGCTCAGCATTCTCACATTAGTTCTGTAATTAATATGAAGACTTCCAACTAGAAAGCAAAGCAGTCAAGAACCAAGTACAAACACTGCCAGCCAGGTTCCAACTTCAGTGAGTACGCTCAGACTGAAAAGCCCTGTCTTACCTTTGAGGCATTAATTACAATATTTCTAGCAGATCCATGCTCATCTCCAGAGAAGGCAGGCTGATTACTGAAGCCTTGCTTTACATTCACTGCAGTAAGTTCATCCTGCAAAGAGTGTATCAAGGGCAAAAAGTGAGATGACAATCTAAGAAGTCACATCATTCAGAGAAGCATGCTTTCACAGAGAAAATTTATGTATTTGCTAGTATGTTACACTCTGCATTCACCAGAATCCCTCAAAGCACTTTGCACATTCACAGGATTTCAGCAAAGAGGAACACAATGCCACTCCTACACTCCAGTCCCCATTAAGTGCTTGCCTTACTACAGGCTTCAAGGCTGTAACTTGATAAAGACAGCACTTGTTTTGCTTACAAAGGATTGCTACCCATGAGAAGGGCAGAAACAAGACCTTGGCAGCCTCTGTAAAACCTGAAGCACACCCAGTAACCACCCCTAGATTTCCCTCGTGAAAGCCGTACCAGTGATCAGCCACCATGACCAGTGAAGGGAGAGCGCACATCCTCCTCAAGGTACACTGGGATCACCGGAACCACCTGCATCACACCGCAACAAAACACTGCTGCACACCACCAGTACCCCATGTGTCCCTTCCCCCAGCACAAAACCATTTTTGCATCCTTGTTTTGGTAAAGTTTAAAATATTACTATTTCAGTTTGTGGCCCCATGCCACCATTTGAGAATATCTACTGAGGTAAGAAACAGAGCACCTCTAGCAGGAACATTTCAAGTGAACATCTGTCCCTGTTGCAACTAAATCCACTTCTTCTTCCAGAGTTACTTTCACAGTGGAAGTATTACTAGTCTACAACACTACCACCACACCTTCATTTTGTGGCTTAGCTGGATCATATTTGCAGCAAGAACGCAGAACAGACAGAAGAGGGGTCAGTAGCATTAGGTGCAAACACAGACCTAAGCCTTTGTCGTGGTTTGAATGTAGAATATAACTTCCTAATTGAGTCCCATCCTTCCCTCTCTTCACACTGTATCTTCACCAAAGTTAATATTCTTCCATGAAGGCTGTGCAGTTTATTCACTTACTAAGAATCACATGCCTGTCAGACTGGGGTTTACATACACCAGATGAAGGCAAACTTGGCTTGTTTGTTTTTCATAGATCAACTAGGCTGGAAAAGACCTTTAAGATCATCAAGTCCAACTTTTCCCCCAGCACTGCCAAGCGCACCACTAAACCATGGCACTAAGGCCTCATCTACACATTTTTTGACCACTTCAGGGACAGTGACTCCATCACTGCCCTGAGCAGCCTGTTCCAAGGCCTGAGCACCCTCTCTGTGAAGAAATTGTTCCCAGTATCGACTCTAAACCTACCCTGGTGCAGCTTGAGGTCGCGAATGGGAATTGAGGAATACGAACGGGTTTAATTCAGTTTTTACCTCTTGTTCTACCCCTTGTTTTACCTCGTTTCTATCCTTTGTTTTACCTCTTGCTCTATCCCTTGTTATCTGGGAGCAGAGCCCAGCCACATCCTGGCTTCATCCTCCTTTCAGGTAGTTGTAGAGAGAGATAACGTCCTCCCTGAGCCTTCTCTCCTCCAGATTAAACTCCCCCAGTTCCCTCAGACATTCCTCATCAGACTTGCGCTCCAGACCCCTCACCTGCTTAGCTGCCCTTCTCTGGATCGACTCCAGCACCTCAATGTCTCTCATGTAGTGAGGAGCTCAGAACTGAACACAGGCCCTGCCCTGCACTGCCTTGTCCCGCAGACCTTCACTTGCCTTGCCCTGCCCCACCCTGCCTTGCTTTTCTTATCCTCCCTTTGCAAAAAAGGCAAAGGTCTCCCCCAGAGAATCACTAATTTGCCAACAAAGATACTGTACAGAAGCTCAAGTGGTCCATGGACCACTGGCTGTGGGTGAAGTACTGGAACAATCCCTGAGATGACTCTGCAGTAACCTATGAAAACAAAGAGCAACTGCTCTGCAACAAGCAAATAAAACGGGAGAAATTAAAGTTAAGTGTCATAATTTTATTGCTAGGTTTTATTACTAGCTTTGGGCAACACATCTCCATAAAAGCAGCAACCCAGAAGCTTCCATTCAGTTTATTCTCTTACGCTTTGCCACGCCTTTTGTTTTTCAGTATTTTTGTGAAGTTGGGAGTAACATAGAAGACAGTAACATATTTAGAAGAAATCCAAGCTCTGTAGGGTTTATGAAATTAGTGAGCCTCATCTGAATTTTAAATGAAATCAACAAGAAGTGCTGGAACACTCCTCCACACACACCACACGAAGACAGCCTTGAAAACACAGATAAAGGCAGAAATGAAAGTGATCAAAGAGATTATAAGCAAATAAATAAAAGGTAAATTGCAAACAGATGGAGATACAAGTTAATACTAGTGCCATTTCCATGTATGATCCCAGTTCTGTTATCTTTAAACTTCTTTGACAAAAGCTCTCCAGATACCATTATGCTAAAAATAACTAACCATATGTTCTACTGCTGTATCTACCACTACTGTAGGAACAAGCTGCGGATGGACTGGCAACACAAACACATCAGTGTTTTGGTTTTGTCTGGCTCAGATTATTAGCTCAGATATTCCCCTGCCTTCAGCAGGAGTTCAGAAATCTTACACAGGGAGCATAGCACAGTTGCATAACCAAACACAAACTAGAAATGAAATGACATGTCATCTGTGAACACACTGCACAGAGACCCCTTTACCAACAAATTAACAATAAAATGGATGCTCACAGGAGCTCTCATTACCTCCCACTTAGGCCAGCTCCATTAACATCTCAGGGTCATGTTCCGAAAGCACAGCTGTCCCCTACCTAGCAGAGGGGAAGGTTTCCTGGACAAATGACCAGTAGTGCTAGCACAGCTACATTGTACAATACTGAATGTACCAGGGTTAAGCCTGCTTTCACTTGCCTTGATTTGCGAGCCCTCTCCTAATGAGAGGCACAGGCACCACACACTGCTGTCACTATGTGATGCGCTCTGCACCACAATATGCTGGATCCTCTAGGCTCCTGCAGGGATGTCAAACTTCCTTTCAAAATGTCAAGCAGGCCCCAATCAAGCCCAATCAAGGCTCAAAATTCTTCTGAGACTTCAAATGGCCAAATGAACAACCAGGCCCAAACCATGTTAATTTGTTTCAGAGAGAATTTTAATTGTTTTGCGTGGGATATTCAAGACCCACATGCAGCACTCCATTTCTGAATGCAACATGTACAGATTGATGCCTTTACAGAAAGAAAGCCCGTTAAGTTCTGGCCCGCAATCACAGGACCTCTGCAGCATCAGCTCTGTCAGAAGGCAGACCTGCAACTTAAGCCTGCATGCATCACCTCACTCCATCATAGCTTTGACCACCATAAAGCCTGTTTTGAGGAGGCCACCTGTAGCATCCAGTCAGCTGCAGCCAGGGCACTCAAACCCAGACTGAGAACGAATGAACTGACTGTTAGGATCAAGCATTGGGGCATTATTGTTGGTTGTTCTGCACAGTATAGCTCCACAATAATTAACAGTGATGAGCTCTTTCAATATAAGCATACTCCTTCTTTATTAGCGCAGTAACACTCTCTTACTGCAGCACCACACCAATAAGAGAAAAGCAGAAATCTAATTCTGACATCTGAGCTGAGCAAACAATGTACAGAGCTACACAGGCACTATTTGACAGTCAAAACCAAGGAATCTTTGAAAGACATTCTTTTTCTCCCTGATCTAAAAATTTCCTTCAATATTAAACTCATGAAACAACAAAACAGATCTTTTTAACCAGTCATTACTTTCAGATCCTCTCACATACTCCATTTTTTGCTTTGTGTCTTTTTATTACAACAGGGCTCTTACTTTCAGCAGCTTGGAGCAACCATAGCATTGGTGTGGAGACCCAAACCCTCTGCAGGAAGGTCCAGGATTTCATCCTGCGGTGTAGCTGCTGCAGCACAAACATTCCACTCCCACTCAGTTTACACCACCAAATATTAGGCTTGGTTTGAACAAGAAGATCAAAAAAGTAACTCCATAAAAGAAACAGCACAAAATCCTGTGCTAGTTACAGATTACTGAACAAGCTGTATTGCATGATGAAGAGAGGACTAACAATACTTAGAGGAACATTATCCAGTCTGAATCAGCAGCTCAGAAGTCACAAGCAAGGATCAGCCATACACAAAAGCAAGCTGTACCAGAGACTAGGAAAGACGACATATGACACAAAGAGATACCAAGAGGACCCAGAAAGACTCTGGGTCCTGGCATGAGGGGGGTAATACTGGAGACACCTCTCTGACAGAAATTTCAGCTGCTTTACCCATCCTACCAGTGGTCTGGGCTACCAATGACTGTAGACGTCGGAGAATTTAGCCTTGGAAGGGTCAAACCCTGTACACTGTGTGCAGGGAAGGTGATTAAATTTCTTCTTTCCCAAGGCTCTATCTCAGCATAAAATGATGTTGATTGTGCTTTTTTGTGCTTTGGAACTGAATTAAACTGAGCATAAAAGCATTACTCACAAGTAAAGTCATAAGAATCTAACCCTGATGATATGGTACATTCAATGGTTGTATCTTTGGCTTGTAATAAACACAGTTTGCATTAATTTTATCCATCTTAGGGAGATGGTAACAAGTCAGAGCACAGGAAGCATTACAAGAAAAGCCAATTCTAACACTTACAGGCTGCTCCTGCAAGGGTTTGATTTCCAGGTCTACCTTTGCTCCACAGCAGCAGCAGGGATTGCTGATTATACAGAGAAACTATTTGCAAACCACTGCCCCAAGGTTCAAGGAAAACAATAACTTTTTCCTAATCTTTCCCTTTTAGAACAGTATCAAGTGTTAAAGGCAGCCCTAGCAGGTAATTGCACTCCAGCAGAAACTATGTGCTATGCAAGTTGAAGACCTTCCCTTCCACCACTCCCTCACTTCTGCAGACAGCATTTTGTACCCAGTGGCAGTGTTCATGGGCTGAGGATCACCCAAAGTTTTTCACAAGGGGACCTTGCAAAGGACACAGATTTCCATCTGGTGCTCAGGTGACCAGGCTTGGGAGCACAAGAGCCCAGGGTTCCTGGGGGTAACAGCTCCTAGCAGGGAGGGCATTTAGAAAGGCACAGGGCAACAGTCAGCAACACCAGTCACCATACAGCCCATTCCCACCTCTAGCAGGACCCCTAACCCTGCATTTGTCTTCTTTTCCAAATGACAGAGAGACTTTATCAACTCAAAGGTTGAAAGGACAGAGGGCCGTGTCCTGTAAATGCTCCATGCAACACGCATTAACACTTCACATACACACATGTAATGCAGACTTTCCCCAAGCCACATTTCAATCAATTATGCTACGGCAAATAACAGTGAGCCTCTTGCAGTTATTTTTCTACTTACTAATTGCACCCACAAAACATATTTTAAATATTAACCATCTGGGCATTTGCCACTTCCATTCTTATTGTAAGGGGCCGCATATTTACAAACGTGCCTGCAAGAATCAATCCACCACCTGACTAAAAATATTCAACAGTCCAGAGCTAAAAATTCACCTCTATATATTGTCATAGCTGAGTTCAGGTGCAGTTCTGGAAGCCTGGTCACAATCACACTTCAAAAATACACGTTAGAGAAATATTTCTAGTTACCATAGTCATCAAGTTTGTAAATATGAGTAGCAGCACAAGGTGAAAAGCCAGAAAGATGATAGAGGTCAAAAACCTTAGATATGTGTCAAAGGCTTAGCAATGGACTTGAATATGCATCTTTCAGTGCGTGTTGTCAAAGCTCCTCTCAACCAGCACTGACCAATAATCACTCTTTGGTAAGTGCTCTCCAGCCTAAGAGAACCAGATCATAACGCTCAAAGACTAACAAATTGCACTTAATTAGCCTCCTTGCTGGAAGTCTCAACAAGATGACAACAGACGAAGAAGAGAGCAAAGCACAAACAGCACTAAATGGCTGCCCTATTGTACTTGCTCCATTTAGCTCGAGTTCATCCTCATCATCTGCCTGTTGACTTCTACGAGCTCCTAATTCACTGGGACGGCCACGAACACCAGAAGAACGGGACATCCCAGGCCAAGCACACAAGAGGTGAAAGTATCTGCCACAGACAGCTTCATGTACAAGTCACAACATGGTACACTAGGCAAACCTCAGAGCGACCCGCTAACATTGCTGGGAGATAACCCATCCACAAAACCCTATCAGAGGCTTCTTATCCCCACCTATGAAAGTCCAGCGGCCAAGAAACGAGACTGGGAAACCAGGAAAGGAGAGCCTACAACCAACACTGCTGCTTCACTAGCCATGCCACAGCATCTGCCTGAACCACACTTGCCCCCAGCATTGACTGACAGTGGGTCTCCACGGATTTGGTTGTGGTACCCAGGGAGTAGGACACACACAGCCTGACACAAGAGTACAAGCTACAGCCCTGCTCACCTCCACCCCATTTTCAGACACATTTCCCAACCTACAAAACCCTCCAAACCCTTCATTCCGCCAAACACAGGTGGGCAGCTTAGTGGGCCCACGCTTGCCTCAGCCAGCAGCACCTCTCACCCTCTGGGCAGCCAGTGCCCCCCCACAAGCCAGGGTGTCCCTCATGGGCTGGGGGTAATCCCCACAGCCCCCGCCTGTCACGGACTGAGGTGCCCCTCCTGGGCCCGCCCCTCTGCCCTCACAGCCGCCAGCCCAGGCGCTGAGGCCGCGGTGGCGGTGAGCGGGACCGCCGCCCCCGCCTCGCCGCAGAAAATGCAAGTCAGCGGGCGGCTCCGCGGCCGCGCAGCGCCGCTCAAAAGTTTCGGGGGAGGCGCCGGGGCCGGCAGGCGCGGGCGGCGGCCCGCCGCGGGCGAGGGGCGGGCGCGGGGCTGGCAGCCGGGCCCCGGCGCCGCGGGTGCAGGGCGGCCGGTCTCACCTCCTTCTGGCGCGGGTCCTGCGGGTAGACGTCAGGCGGCCCCAGGCGCGGCCGCTTGAGCGGTCTGTGCTCATAGCTGAGGAGCCCGAAGGCGGCCATGATCGTTCATGTTCGCCGGCGCAGCGGGCGGGCGCTGGAGCGGGCTCCGTACTCCAGGGAGCAGCACTCGGCGGCTCGCCCCCCGCCGCGCCGGGGGCGGGCGACGCGGCTGCGGACGGCCGCGGGGGTGGCGTGCCTCGGCCCACCCCCCCTCCCGCTTCCCTTCGCTAGGCAGGTGCCGACAGGCCGCCCGAGCCCTCACACAGCTGCACAGCGGCAGCCCCCGAGCTGCTCACCACACCAGGGTGATGACGGGGCCGAACGCAGCACCGTAGGCTGCGGCCGACAACCCCCGAGCTGCCCCGGGGGAGCGGCGAGGAGGGGTTGGGCGCAGGAGGGCAGCACTGCCCACCCGGCCTGGAGAGGGGAGGCGCCGGTCAGTTCTCTGCGGGGAGCGGAGCGGCTGGACACTCTCCCTGAGGGCCCGTTTAGCCGCAGGATGCGCCACCGGCGTGTCCACCCTGTCTATCGTCTGTCCCCTTTCTTAATACCGTTCATTTTAGCGGGTACATAATTCGCTAGGTGAGAGAACCGCCCGCTGCGGGCGCGGCCGGCCCTCCCACCCCCCGGTGGCGAGGGGGGCATGGCCCAGGAGAGGCGACTTGGTCCCGCTCCGCTCTCCCCCGCCCTCCCCGCCGCTCTGAGGCGCAGCCCGTAACTCGGATTCCCAGAAGGAGCTTCATGTCCCGGGTACTCTGGCTTCAGAGGAGAAGAGTGCAGCAGAGCCTCACCCGTTTTCACCCATCCATCTCCCCGGGCACAGCCCCTCACTGCTCCAGCGGCGCAAGGCCGAGGAGCAAAGAGCACCCGTTCCCTCCTGCTGTACTGCCTGGGGTCTGAGAGATCCCGATCCCACTCCCATGGGTATCAAAACACTGTGGAGAGGCACTGTGCTGGTCGATCGGCAATGATCATGTCCCTTTGGGATGCAGCCTTGGGTGGCCACTGAGAGAGTCACTTGGCCCATCTTCCATAAGCTGCACCTCCGGGCACAGGGCAAAAGAGACTGCTCCGTGATTCCCAAAGGATGCTCACAGGGGCTAGTCCCAACTACCCAAGAGGACCCACCAATCCCAGTGGATCAGCCAAGCACAGGAAACAATGTCAACAGAGGCTGCAGTTTCTGATTAGTGAATCTTAAAGCTTTAGGGTTCCTCCTTTTTCCACCATGCAGGTGGATGTCTGTACTTGCCTATCTGCCTGCCCTACTGGGGCATGGCTGCAGTCTCACAGCCTGCAGTTATTGTTCTGGTATAGAGAATACATTTCTCCCGCAGCATAGGTGCCGTATCCTTAGATACAGGAGCGGAAGGTGCATTCTGCATTAGCACTACAGCAAGCAACCATGAACACCTTCTTTTTCTCTCCTTTTTACCCCTTATTTGTGCCAGACTCCTTGTGCTACATCTCTGGGACAGTACAAACACGAGCTGCTTTGGAAAGTACCAGATTAGATGTTTGCCTAAGCAAAATTAACAGCAGCACTCTACAAATGAGTTTATGTTCAAATTTAGCATGGACAAGAGCAGGAAACACAGGCAAACCACATTTCTTTTGTCTCTAAGCAATTATCTAATCAAACCATAGATAACTTGAGCTGAGGCTGAACATCTATTGCAATAGCAATAAGGTATGATAGTAATGCCCTACACTGACTCGTAATTGTTATACATCTATTTAAATCTGTGCCACTTTTGGTTACTGAATTGCTTTTCATGCATCCTGCTATGTTGCTCGCCAAAGGCAAGCATCAGCAAGACTGAGATCTCCAAACTTTAACATCCAAATCTGAGCTGCCTTCCTTGGAAGGTTTATCAGATGTTTGTATGTGATCCAAGGGCATGCTCAAAAGACCAGCTGTTTGTCAGCTCTTTTTCTTCACTCTGCAAGTAATTAAAACTGCTTTAGAGCTTTTCACAAGTTCCACTGGCATGCTGGATCAGTGTTGCGATCCTTGGCTTTGGAAAGATTAATATCATGTATATTTTAAGGTAGTATCGCTATATTTTATTCCCAAGGCTTTGTCAAACACATCTGGATATATTTGAACACACAGATCCCAGGGTTTTGGTTTGTTTGTTTATTTGTTGGAGTTTTGTTGTTTTGTTTTTTGTTTTTGTTTGGGTTGGGGGTGTTTGTTTTTGTCATGCAGAATGGTCTGACAATCTCGGATATTATTGGGTTATTTACTAATGGATAATTATTAGCCTCACATGCTTTAGAAGAGGGAAGATGTTACAAAAAGCTGACAAAATTTCACTGAAGGATATCTTATTTCTTAAAACTGCCAGTCTTTAATGTTAGAGAGCATGAGCTTTTTTCCCTGTACTTGTTTTATAAATATAGTGGGCTAGATACCAAGAAATACTATTTTAACCACCCAGAAAGCAACATTGTATATTACTGTGCAAACACAAAGAGATCCTGTCAGATCCTTCCTTAATGTTCACTGCAGAATTGACAGCTAGAGTTAGAAAGGGACTTGAACCATCTGACAAGGCATACATACTGAATTGTTTTTAAAGAAATGCAGTCAGAATCCATAACTGACAATAACTGTTCCAAATAAAAGTTACCTCAGGGCAAACTCCAGGGCAATTTTCCCCCCTAATGTCTAGCTTGTCTGTGCATGGCACTATCTCTAGCCTGATTTCGTCTCTGCTTACTTCACACCACCAGCACTGCCTGCCCTACCACAAGATTCAGCAAAGCCCTTTCGATGCTAACTGCTCCTGCTTCACCATCTTTGCTTTCCCAAGGGATTCTGAAACATTTTAACTCATTCAGAAAACTATGTATTTTTCCATGGCATAAACTACTGTTCCGTACAAACAGGCTACCAGAAAGCTGACTCTTGAAAAAAGTAGCCACCAAAACAGATAAGTGCAATTATTCTTCCCCCCCCAATCACATTCTTCCTAGGACATAGTCACTTTTACATTCATATGTTCAAGTCTGTTCCTTTTGCTGCTGTTGTGCTGGTAATAACCATACTGAAATATTATAGTCCTTCAGGGAACAATAAATGCATTCCATTCAAGTATTCAAAACCATCTTTAAAAGTTAGCATTTTCCCAAACCTGTATATATTCAGCACTGTGCATGTGCAAGCTCTGTGGTAACAGACCCCAGTGATACCGCAGTGTGCCATCTTTTGGTTACGTATGATGATCACATCATGAACCACAAAAAAAAGTAATTTGTCTGTTTTGTCTGTACGCAGCCTTGTTCGTTTGAATTCCAAGGTCATCTGAAAACCTCTAGTTAAACTAGATTCAGTTTTTAAGCCTGATATAATACCCTTAAATCACTTAAAGAGTATTCCTGCAATGAATATGCATTCAGTTAAACCACTTTCTAAATTGATCCGGTTAGGGAAACAAAAAAACAAACTAGGACAAACAAACAAAAAAAAACAACAAACAAACCAAAACAAACCTTGTATTTGCTGAAATCACTGGCAGTCAGTTGGTTGATGCGGACACCTGTGCTCCTAGCCCTAACTGAGGCCCCAACAGTGCCACACTCCAGGGGATAGGTTATTTTGTGCCCGTGACTGGCTTATGGGAAGAGCAAGGCAGGGCTCCCCCAGGGTTGCCCCTCCTGCATGAACCACAGGGAGACAGCATGTTGCAAGCATGGGATTACAATGGGGGTCTTCTGTAAAGAAGTAAGAGAAAACGTGGTTGTGTATATTTGAACCTTGAACTTAAATGCTTGTCTGAACATCCTACACACCACAGCCAAAACAATGCAATACTAACAGACATGCTGCCTTTGCCAGGGAATGCTGTGACAGGGAAAAGCAAGTGCCCAAATGCAACCAAATACTGCAGAGGGGGCCTCCTAGCTTAATGCTTTAACTGTGCCATTGCATTAGGAACAAATATCCACAGAAAAAGAAAAACACCCAAAAAATTAAAAATAGCAGAGCAGCTCAGCATTACTAGCTTTAGAGGAAAACCTGGGAAAACAAAACCCTCTGAAAACTTCTGAGATAATCAGATGCAGCAGTCAAACCTGTCTCTGAGATACCCTGTTTGCCCTATTAGGCAGGGGGCTGGAAAGAGCAGAGCACTCGTCAAATTACAGAGATCTGTCATCTTAAACCCTTGTTATCAAGTGACAGAAGGCACTGAAACATTCTACAAACTACTCTATTTTCCAGTTTGTTTTACAAGATCAGTGCACAAGCTAAAGCTACACAGAAGGGAACAAGGAAGAAGAATCTTTACAGCATCTTCCAGGAAGCGTGTGCATTGTAGAGGTCTGCAGCTGAAGCTCTCCAAGGAGAGAGCTCTGGCTGTGAGCAGGGCTGGCTGGGTGCCTGGTCTCTCATTGGGAAGCTTGGCTGTTTGCTGTGCTGATGAAGAACTTGTCACTGCCTTGCTGAAAGCTGCGTCCCTCGGAGAACTCACACACCACCATGCCAGCCCAGCAGAAGAAAATTATCTTTTGCATAGCTGGGGTGCTGAGCTTTGCTTGTGCACTGGGGACAGCGGCAGCCATCAGCACTCAGCTGTGGGTTAAGGGGACGATACTCTGCAAGACTGGAGCCCTGCTCGTCAACGCCACTGGCCAGGAGATGGAGAAGTTCATTGGCGAAATCCAGTATGGGCTTCTCTATGGCGAGCGTGTGAGACAATGTGGGCTCGGGGGGAGACCTTTCCAGTTTTCATGTGAGTAATAATAGCATTTGAATTATTTAGCACCACACTGCTGACAGCTAGGGGAGCAGAGAGATGCTGCCCCAGCATCCTCTTGCTCACACAGAGCCTAATGACCACAAAATATGCTAAAGCAGATGCTGCTGTTAGTGTTCTGATCTTCAGGTACAAATAACTTATTTTCTGATACTAGTAAAGTCACACTCAGATTTTCAAACAATCTAATTTTCAGTTACACAGATATCTACATTGCAAGACTTATACTAATACTTTAAGGAAGAGTATTCCTGGTTTTCAGTTAATCTCTTTCATCTTCCTGTGTATGTGTGTCAATATTATGTCCTCTGTGCCATCACGAAAGAATAAACTAATCTAGCAGAATCTCGTGAAAGAGTTAGGGGATAGATACACTCAGCTGCTGTTGAGAAACAAAGCAGCTGCATTAACTGGAGGAGCTGCTGGTTGATGCTAGCTGACATGTAGTCAGCAGTCCTGCAAGTCAAACTTGGTATCTGACATGCAGAATTTTATCAAAGATTGTTAGCAATGGCTTTGTTTTACATATAATATAATGTATTCATCTTCAAGCATAAGACTAACAACAAAATAATCAAATGAATATAGTTTGTACATAGCAGCACATTAAACAGTTAATAACAATCATTTGTTCTATGTACAGTACACAACCTGAAGTTACTACAGAACAATTTAGAAGCATTCTGCTAAAACAGCACCAATAAATTGATAATATGAGTCATTTAAGGCAAGCTAATTTTACCAGATTAGGTATCAAATTATTTATCATATAGTATTTTTCCAAAGGAGCAGACTAAATTAATTTGATATTAAAATTTTCCATCTCTAATTAAATTCCACTGCTAGTCTATTTATACAGATGAAGTTCTCTCCATCACTTTGTTTGCCACAACAGTGTGCAGATACTCGGCTATAGGCTGAAGTGAATTTTCAGAGGGGCAACTAAATCCTGAGGAATTAGTTTTCCACTGTAGGTGAAATTGCTGTGAACTAAGCTGACAAAGCCACTAGCAATCAGCAGCTCTGTGACTGCCATTTGTCTGGGTTCCATACGGCAGTTCGTATTGGCTTGGTGCACAAGGCAGGACTAAACCCAACCACTCAGATAGGCCTCACACCAGAGCAGCCACAGGTGAGAGCTCACTAGCTTCCCTTTCTAATAATTTTCTTTCCACATATTTGTTATTAGGATATTTTTAAAGCATTTTATTGATGTGCCTTGCATTCAGGTTCTCATATGTACATTTCATCTTGCTGTGGCTGAAATATTTTAATATATTGCTAGTGTGATTGTAGCAGTCGTTTCAAAAGAATTTTAATTTTGTGGGCAGTGTGAATTAATATTGCAGGTGCAAGAGAGAATACGAATGCACTGCTTGTTTGTGATGATTTAATAATACCAATCATCACATATTTTTAAACATCTCACAACACTACATACAGGTAAGCCCTGGATCTATGAAACTACTGCAGAACGTTTTCAACCATAAGTGCCCCAGGGTATGGAGTTTGATCTCACTATGGGCATACACTTTCTAGCTACACTCACAGAAGGCTCACGTAACTAAGTTTTCCCATGCTTTCATTCACAAGTATATTTTTAAATGAGCATATAAACACAAACATGTGAAAGTTTCTGTTTATAAGAAATAATGTGAAGTATTTGATTACAGCTAAGCAGGCCACTTTGGAATGGTAAAAAAAAAAATAAAAAATGCACAAACCCTGACTGTTCATACAGGACTGCAGAATCCTACTGCACAGCACAATGTTAAAAATTAATTTCTTCAATATGAGTGCCAAACGTACATTTTCAGAGAACTTCAAGGCTTTCAAGAGTTGCATACAGAAGATTAAAAGAATATTTAAGTCTAGTAAATAGCACTGCTCTCATTTTCAGACAGAGAAAATGAGGTTTGAAGCACATGCTTTCATGCCTGTTCCCAAGATCTGGGAGCAAGGCTGGATTTAACCTTATGCTGGAGACTCCTCGAGTCAGAAGTGTAGCTGCTGACAAGCCTGTGATGCAGCAATGTCCTTCCCCAGAGACAGCAGCCTTGCTCCCCACATCCTGGCTCACCAGGCAGCAGCAGATGAGCACCTGCAGCAGCAGAGCTGGCAAGGCTGAAGCACTGGGATCAGAAACACAGCCACAGAGCCTTGGCCCACCTAAAACTGAAGCCAAGCTTATATATTGGAGCATTGTTTTACCTTTTATTCTCCTTCCATACACACCAAGTATTAACAGCGAGATATTTCAGTAAGTCTTACACACCACATTACAAGCCCATCCTGTCAGTCTCATTTGCCTGCACTGGTATCCTTTATATACCCCTTTGAAAAGGTAACACAACAAGATGATCTTCGGCATTGTCCATACGTTCAGTGAGACCTCTTACAACTTAAATATTTCACAAGCCCAGTTGTACCTGTCATGACGCTCCACTGGGCAGGCTTTGCCTCCACAGGCTTTTGCTGACAGCTGAGGGTGGAAGCATTGCTGTCCTTATAACTTGTTCTCAGATCATCTTTCATTTTATTTAGATTAAAAAGCAAACACAACAAATAGGATTTATATTTAGAAACAGTGATTGGGTGAATAGCAAAATATGCCTCTGCTAGAAGCATTCACTTCAGAGACCACTTAATGGAAGAGCTGGTTCACATTCCCTGGGGCCACAGCAGACCTGGCCAGGCACAGGCAGCATGCTCAGGAGCTCCCTGAGAATGTCCCAAAAAGCAGGGCAACCCAATACAATATACACATGCATAGTGCAATGCACTGGAGTGCACTTTAGCATGTCTAAGAAAAGGCACGGAAAATAGACTAAATGATTTAGTTCTATGTTTGCTCCCATTAAATGCTCCCCTCTGACCACTATATCTCTTTTAATTGTAAAATGAATTTGCTCTGCTAGCAAACCCAGTTCAGCTGGGGAAAGCCTTCTGCTTCATTTGCTCTTGCTGATTCTCATCAGTTTCTGGGTCAGCAGTTCATTTTCTAAAGGTCGTTGGCATGCACATCTGATGCAATTTCATTCATTATAATGAAGGAATATTTTTCTTTCTAGACAACATAGTTGCTGGAATTAATTTTTCCTGATATGTCACAGAAGATTTTAATGACAAACAACTATAAATGCAGGTGCCAAGGGAAAGATTCAGTACAATGCAGCAAAGTGTTTTTCTTAAAGAAAAATTGTTAAATACAGTTTTTCACGTTCTCCCAAAACATCAAGTGGCATTGCAAGAACTAACACTATTCCTTGTAGAAATTCTGCTCAGGCAGGGACTTTTCAGCCTTTTTGTTAGCTAGCCTAAATGGTACAACTGTAAAATTGTACCTTATACCACATTAATGGTGTAAGTGCCTCTTATGATTATAAAGTCGTTAAATATGTAATATAAAGTTCAATAAACACAACATATATTTCTATAGTTTCTAAAGCATGATCTGTGTTTTATTGGAATGAGATAAGGAATTTAAGTACCAGTGGCCAAACTGGACAATAGGCAGTCATCACTAACCCTGTGCCTGGTGAGGGTCCTTAGGCCATCATCCTCCATGAGCACTTGGTGCCTCTCTCTGCTCCCAACTGCCACCACCAATGCAAAAGGTGATATTTAACATGGGTTAAAGAACAGTTTGTAAACATTTGCTTCAATTTCCCTTTTGTTTAACCAGGGAGATAAATGAGCTTGAGACCACCTTACCTGCTTCACCATGTTCACTGCATGGCAAGCTGCAGAATTGCTTGCTGGTAAACATTTTACGAGGTAATTTATGTGAGACTTTTTTCAGTCTCGGCACATTACAGCTGCAGTGAGGCACTGCCAAGGCATTATTATCCCCACTTTAATTGTGCCCCTGTGGATCACGAGCAGTTAAGTGTTTTTAATGATTCCTTCTAAAATACCCATTGTTGCCAAACAAAAATGAATGATTAAAAATTATTCTGTCATACTGAGCCTGATTGACTATCCCCTTGTGCCCAGCTAAGTAGGTTCACAATTTGAAAGAGTAGCTAAAAAGATGCATAAAAATGTCTAAAATAAAGCATTCTTAAATCTTCGTATAAATAGTGGCACATAGCTGGGACCCAGCATAGCCCTCAGTCCATCAGGTAGAAGTCGCTGACTCCAAGAGCAAAGATGCCTCTTCCATTTGGATACTGCTCCCCACTGCTGCAGTCATGACCCTCTCTGTAGGCTTTTATTGGGCAGCAACTAGGACAAAAGAAATAGTGACAAATGCAGCTGATGCAAAAGTGTCCAGCTTTTGGAAACTTAAAATCATACAGCATGTGGTAAAAGTGTTGCATTAACTGTGTAATACATGAAGTACTCGAGGCCTCCTTACTCTCAGCTCCACAGAGCAAAGCTTTCCTGCAGACAACTGGCACCTTGCCTGATGGCAGGGCACAGCACTGGCCTTCACATCTGTACCCTCATTTTACATGTTCTCTCTTATTTTGTCTCAGTAACCCATTTTTTTATTATAAGGTTTCTCCATTTCTTCTCATTGCTTTACCATCTTACCTTTTTGGCCTTGGGCTTTTAGACACAAAACATTCCACAAGTGTTTTGTTTGGGGAAATACAGAGGAGAAAACTTTGATTTTAGAAAATGTGCTTATTCTTTCAAAATCTCATTTAGATAGTTTATTGCAAATAACTCTTGGGTAAACTTTATTAATTTCTCCCTCTTTAGTTTCATATTTCATTTTAAGAATAATTGAAGGTATGAATGTACGTACATTAGATATAGAAGAGATATGAAATGTATCTCTTCTATTTTTAAGGATTTTTATCAAAAATGCTTTTTCTATTTTCTAAAATTGGAACATTGCCAAAGGCTAGGAGCTAAGACACCCCTGATCCTTTTAGGTGTCTACATGTCTCCGGCAATAACTATTGGTGGATTTTCACAGGGAGCCTCTGTATTATAAACAACTTCACATATTACCTTCCCTGGACAGCAAATATTCCTGGAACCTTGAACATCTCCCACCCACATGTAGTACACAACACATTTAACCTTCCAGTATGTTGGCATTGCAGCTCTACTAATGATTTCCTGTTTCTTCATAACAAAACATAGACCTTTTAACTTACAGATTGTTTGCTTAAGGTTTTCAGAAAACACCCACATATTCTTTGGGTATAAACTTACCAAACCAACACTGAATATTTGTATTAATCGAAGTGGTGGAATCCCTGCTCTGAAATAGGAAGGCAATCAACATCCCAGCTAGGAGCAACTCTTTGCTTCCCTTGCAGATGAAGGGACAAGCCCTAACATCTGTGTGCTTGAGGCACATGAGATGCAAGCAAACAGCACACACTACTCCAAACCAACAATGTTTGAGGCTGATGGCATCCCGCACCATGTACAGGGGAAAAGTGTGCACAGGGAATTACCCTTGGGAAGCGGAGGAGAGGCTTTCCCTAAGCTGGTCTCTGCCTCCTCACCAGTCTACAATTCTGAGCTTCACAAAACGCTTCTGCCTCCACACATCCATGAAAACCTGTTTCTAGTAACTTCATTTTCATCTTCGCTTACATTTTGAAGAGCATAATTTAAAATAATTATCACAAAGCAGTAAGAAATCCCTGGCCTGACTCTGAAACAACTTTGCTTAACGTGTATAATAATATTTTGTTCATTTTGTTTTTAGTTTTTCCAGATTTGCTCAAAATTATCCCTGCAAGTATCCATGTTAGTGTCATTCTCTTCTGTACAGTACTGATCATCTTTGCTCTGGTGGGAGCAGGTTTCTTCATGTTCAATGCTTTTGGCAGCCCATATGAAACTCTGCATGGTCCTGTTGGGTTGTACCTCTGGAGCTTCATTGCATGTAAGTACCACCCCACCCTTGGCCTGCCAGGCTGGTGCTGGTCCATGTGTGCCAGTTACAATGGCCAGTTACTGACACATGAGACCAATATTACAAACCATGGCTGCATTGACTTCAAACTGGCAAAATAAAGCTAGGCAGGAAAATAAATGATTTAACTGTATAAAAACATGTTTTTTCCAAATTGGAGTTAAGAGATAAAATGCTGAAATCCTTAGCAAGGGCAGGCAGCCTGGGCACCTCTGGCTCTTCTGCATAGGCTCTTCTGCATTTCTGGCAGAGAAAAGGGATGGTGCCCACAAGCCCCATGGACCCAGAGGTGTGGCCGCATCTTGGGTGCACAGCATATGGTCAGAACTGGGAAAAGCACCAGAGAGGGGGAAGAGAGGAAAAAAAAAAAAAGTCAGAGATGCAACTGCTCAAATTCACCTTGATGGGAGGTTTTCAGCTGGGTAAGCAAGATCACCACTTATACCAGCAAGATTTTCCCAAGGAAGGAAGGGACTGAAAAGCAGAGAGAGAGAGGGAGACTGAAAAAGACTGCCAGAAGGGATAACCGACCGTCCCAGTCCCTCTGTCACTTAGAGAGGCTAAAGCCCATTCTCTGCATTGCTGGTTTGGCTGACAAGATACTTACCATTACTTTACAAGATATTACATATTACAATCATAATTTGATAAAGGACTTAGGTACATACTTAATTTTAAACATACAGACACTTCACTTACATCCAATGAAACAATGAGCAGGTTAAAGCTGAAAAAGAGCACAGATACTTTGCTGGATCAGGGCCCTAAAGCAGCCATGCTAAATATTACTGGTCCTAAGCCTACTTCAGTTTAAAAAGTGTACTGATTTCAATAGCTGTTGGCTTGGATTCCCACCAAGTTACAGTGGCCATAACAACACTATCAATATAGTATTTGGTTGTGACATACAGCATGTGGCCTTGTCAAGATAATTAACACCTCGTCCTCTTTTTCAGGTTCCTGTGGGTGTCTCATTATGATTCTATTCTCATCAGAAGTGAAAATCCACCACCTTTCAGAGAAAATCGCTAATTTCAAAGAGGGAAGTTTTATATTCAAGACTCACACTGAAAAGTTTGCAAATTCATTCTGGATCATCCTGGTTTGCTCCCTGTTGCAATTTCTGAATGCCTTGCTAATAAGATTTGCTGGATTTGAATTTCCCCTTTCAAAATCAAAAGATTCAGGGACCACCACTGGAGCAGCTGACCTGATGTATTAAAATTACACAATTTAAAAACATTTCAAGCGAAGAGGTCTGTCAGTATGATATTCAACAACTACCAGATATAATAACTTTTAAAATATTTCTTTAGAGCTAGCAATTTACAAGTGAAGGATTCAAACAAACATCAATATGGCATATGCAAGAAACAAAACTCTTGCTATTTGGTAATATAGAACAAAACACCCTCTCTTTCTTAAGGTAAGACCTTACCAAGACATTTGCCTTTTTTACCAGCAAGATATTTGAAAAGTAGTTGGTATGAAGAAAACTGGGAACACCAATAGTGTTGAACTAGATCTAGAAACTAAAATAAACAGGCTGCAAATAGAGGCACACCAGCAGCAACACTGCTATCACCCACAGCAGTTCTGCCCTTTAGCCCTTGTGAAGGTACAAATGCAGTGGTTACCACGCACTCCCCATGTTGCACTGCATCCTCCCCAAGCCTCAGTTGGTATAAAGAACCCTGCCCAGAAAATAGCCCTACAATGCCTCTCTCATCAAACTATACAAATAAACATAGCCAAGACCTTTGGCAAAGAGCAGCAATGGAGTAACACAACAGACAGGTTTACAAGCATGCTACAGCTCAGCAGAAACTGACAAAGAAACAAGTGAGGTTCTGCACTTCAGGGCATGCAGGAAGCCAGACTGGATGAACGCGCCAGCCCTTGCACCCTTAAACTTCTACAAGTCAGCTGAAGCAATCAGACTGCTCATCCCAAGTACAGCTAACCCATCCCAGTCATAGACAGATATATCAAAAGAGCATTATACCACCAAACACTACCTCTGTGGGACTATGTGGGTACTTTGGAGATGAGTCACTTCTTGCAGGATACAGAAACAACATTCAGAGCAGACAGAAATGGAAGCACCCAGAGTAAGAGCCTCTGTTCAAGCTGCCCATTTATCTGCAGGAGCTGCAGCTCCTGCACAGCTGTGGGTGAGGAGCAATCCCACCCTGCATCTGCCCTGGCACCTGTGGGGATGGTCATCCTCCAGCTCATGTTGGGATTCGCTTCACAAAACCATATGCTTCGATGACCTTACTGACTTCTACGTCATCTTTTATATTTTTACTATGAATAGCAAAACATTGCTGGGGTTTCTCGGTAAAAGGTTTGTCAACTACACCCCTACTTCCCAAACCCTTTCACAAAGAAGCTCTGCCTCCCCGTGTGGTACCGTATCTCCCTAGATTTTAACAATGTGTAAGGGCCACTGCAACATTTTAAATAATTTTCTTCTGATTTATATGCATATTTTTCTCAATGTATCTTCTTAACGCATAATATATATTACATCTCATGGTATTGTTTATTATACAGAAAATAATGAGGAGTAATGTTTCATCCTTCTTGTTCCTTATGTTTCATGAAGTGCTCTGCTTGGCAGCAGTCAGCAATGTATGGGATCAGACACACAGGCTGCTCATATGTGTGTGTCTTTCTGAGTGATCCTTGCCAGTCCTTGAAGAAGCTGGTTTGTATGTGTAAAATGTAGAACTGCCCAGACCTGCCTCAGCACAGAAGATAAACCTGTTCCCATCCCTTTTGTTGTGCAGGAGAGAGCAGCCCCTGGCTAGGGGTTCAGGAGTTTTCACAGGGGATCACTTTTCCCAAAGAGCCTGGCTCCACTGCTCCCCCCATGTCCCACCCCACTCACAAACCTGAGGCCAGCTGTTATATTTATCCATATCCATTTCCAAAGGCAAACATAAAAACTTCTTACTGGCAAAATAAAACTGAGGCAATATTTGTGTGTTTGACCTGCTGAAAGTAACGTTTAAGGTGAGTATGACCTGCTCAGCTTGTGCTTCTGGGTGAGCACCAGCATGTGCCCTGTGACTCACTTGTAATCCATGAGCATCAGCTGAAGAAGTTTTACCCTGTTTAATTTCTACTACCATAGTTCATGATTAAATAAATAAATAAATAAATTTATAGCAAAGGGAAAAATATCTAAATATATTTTGAAGATTCTTGAAAAAACAGATATTTTCATATCCTAATAAGTTAGCAGGCACATGCACCTGTATGTGTGCCTGCATGCAGTGTGCATACATATAAATACAAACATATATAATATATATATGGGTGTATGCATACAAGGGTGTGTAGCAGGCTTAGACTACTAGCCCACAATGCTGATGTAGGGGTGAACACCAAACACTGAAACTCAGAGACTCCCAGTCAGTGCCTTCTCCCAGACTAAGAGAACAAACCATGAGATTTACATGACCCTGTCAGCAGGAAACTGGGCCTGACCCTCACCCCTGAATGCCAGTCTTGCTACAGGAAGTGAGAGAAGTCAGAAGAACATCAGTGCATAGATTTTGCTTTGCGTTGTCTCTCCAGTGAATTAGCTCAACTTCACAGACATCTGCTAAGTCGGATTTGTTTTTTTCCTTGAGCTACACACTACCCACCCAGCCCTCACAACCCAGACCCCATCCTGCTTCTGATCAGCCCGCACAGGGGGAGCTGCAACCCTGCAGCTGGAAAATCCCTCCCTGCTACTGCACCAAGACCTTACAGAGCAGACACATCACTGTGGTCAGCTTCAGACAGCTTTCTGTCTGCATTAAACATTGACACTGCTTACACAGCAAGCAGAAAAACACAGGCTGTGACAGGCTTTCATGAAAGTTTAATTGCATTGTGGCAGTGGAAGCTGGTAGAGGGGATTCGGGTGCCTGATGAGGAGCCGCTCCCTGAGCAGTCCCAGTGCCCACATCCCTTCGCATCACCCCGAGCACGATGGATGACCAGGAAGCTGAGCACACTGTGCCACAGACAGAGCTCCAGGAGATCACCAGCAAAATTTCAGATCTAAACAAATGGAGAAATGTTTTTAGTTTCCATAGGTAAGGTTTATATTCAGCTTCATCATCATGTTTTAATTCCAGATGTTTTCTTAATATCATATTTTAAATTATGCTTTATTACAACATTTACGACCACAGAAAAAAGGTCCTAATGTACTCAGGAATGCAAGTATTACAGCTTTTTCTCTTCCTTTGTGTTTTCTTTTCTAGCTGGTCTCCTGTTTCTTCACATGCTAGCAATGCCTCTGTCATTGGTTTGGGGGGTTGGGGTTTGGGTTTTGTTTCGTTTTTTTTTTAATTTGTATTTTATTTTCCCTTTTCAGTTTGGAAATCAGCAATTCAACTTATCAGGTAACGGCTTCTCTAAAAGTTAACATCTTGTATTTGTCTAGTGGTTTTTGTGACTGTTCCACCAGATTAGCATAGGGAGGAAATTGCACATCTATATATGCGACACAGAAGTCAGTCTTTATGGATATTTATTTCTTATGCTCCTCCTTTAAGAAACAGGCATTTTCTACAGATATTTTAAAGGAATGTCTTGTCTTCCTGATCTAAATCAAAGTGTCAGAGTATCCAAACATAAATTAACCTTTCTATCTAAAAGTAACAGTTTTCATGGTCAGTTTTGGAACACAGGAAAAAAGGGTAACATTCTGAAATTTCTGAACTAGAAATATTTGGAGAACCTGCTGTGTCTTTAGGTTGAAAAGCACTGAAGTTTATTCGTGTAATTCAGACAAACACAACATTACTATGTACTCAAATCATTGGCTTGTAAGGATCTATTTGTAATGTTTGCAAAAAGCTGGGTCTGTCCTGGTTTAACCACATCTGGTAACTAAGTATCACGAATAATCAGCATTATTCTCAGACTAAAGCCGAAACACAGCACTGTACCAGCTACTAGGAAGAAAATTAATTTTATCCCATCTGAAACCAGGATAAGGACAAACATACTGATGCTCCCTGGCAGCACATACTCCCCTTCCCTGCCTCTCCACAAGCCAATCCCACTGGGAGTACTGAAGGGGGTAACTTTCAAGCCACGGAGGCAGCAGCTGTGGCATGACTCCCTGTCTGCTCCTCTCTCTATCCAGCAAGGCGGTGGCAGCACTGGCAATGGAGTACCTGGAGCCAGAGAGCCCTTAGGCCTGCAGCCACCGGTGCCTCTGCCCCGTTCCACCATCCCTGAGCCCCTACTGATCTCTCCAGACGCAGGCGGCCAGCCCATCTCCTTGGAAATGGCAATGGTGAGCAGGCCTGCTGAGTTACGCATGAGCTGTAATTTAATCTCATTAAAACAAAGAGACTCAGGAACCTTACCTGGCATTGAGGAAGGCTCAGCATATTGCTGGGCTGAAGGCTGCAGCCTTCTGTTAGCTGTAACAGAAGTATGTAATTGTAATCACTTATTTATGAAACTCTGAGAGAACACGGTTGCAATACAACCCTCAAATGGGTATACTATAATTCTCATGAGATAATAGGTCAAATGACAAAGTGTAATGTTTCCCTTCTTTTTGGTGCTTTCCTATTGAATAGCCTCAGAATGGGAGGCAGGAATTCAGGAGATCAGTGAGAGATTTCCACTCTCACCCAAATACCTGTGTTTTAGAGCACTAATGAGTGCCTGCTGCCCCTGCCCATATGAAAAGCTTTGGCCAGGAGCTCAGGAGTTTTCTGCAGGTAATGGCAGAATGGGCTCTGGTGCTGACCTCACTGCCTGTGACCTCCCACACCAAACCAGTCCTTGGCATTTGAGCACAAACTCAGTGAGAAACTCAAGAGTCCGGGTCTTCCTCCAGAAGGTGTAGTGTATCCAAACGTAAATTATTTACATACTGCAATTGCATTTCCCAGGATTGTTTGAAATGCGGAGAGGAGTAAGTGACTACATTAAGCACAGACATCACCTTTGCTTTGTGGGGCCTGATTCTCAGTAGACAGCTTTACACTGCTCTGGCTGTGAGCATACGCGCTGGCCTTGTATCCCAAGGCCACTCTGATGCTGACAACGCCAGGATGTGAAGGGGGCTGAACCCAGCCTGTCTTTCTCCTCTTCAACAGAAGCTGCGAAAGCTGCTCTTTGGAAACGTGCTCCAGCTCTTCAGCTGTGAATGGGCAAAAGCATGTTTCAGGTTTCGCGAGCCATACTCTGACCTGGCCTATGCTTTGGAGACAGAAAAGGTAAATATTTCAGCACAGCAACCTTCACCATCTCCCCAGTGTCTCAGCCACTAACAGGAGCTGGCAGTCAGTGCTGGGTGTCTCAGGAGTGTCCATGCCTGGTCCCCATGTCCTGCAAGCCTGTACCCTCCACATCTGCACTCCACGCTTGCATCCCATGCTCTGCACACCGGCACCCCATGCCTGTACCCTGTGCTCTGCACATCTGCATGCCATGCTTGCACCTCACGCACTGCGTGCCCACACCCCACATTTTGCATGCCTGCAACTGCACACTCTCCACATCTGCACCCTGCGCTCTGCACGCCTGCACCTTACACTCTGCATGTCTGCCCACTGAGCTTTCTCCACAGGCAGACTGTGGGGGCTTCCAACCACAGCCATGGTCCACGGCCATCCTGAGCAAGCCTCCAGCTGCCCTCACAGTGGCAACTGAAGCGTGTCTGGGAGTGGGATGAACTGTTCTGATTCAGCCGCACAATGCATACACAAGCTTTAAATATCATGGTATTAAATGCTTCCAAGGTGAAGGCTTAATAGAGAAGCAGTGGGTTGTTGCAGGTAGGCATGAATAAGCAGTATCTGCCTGTTTCTTTTGGGGTAGAGTTACGTACTTCTTTCTACCCCACCTGGAAATCAAACAGGTGAATTTACCTACATTTTCAAGAGGGAGGTTTTCTTCTTCCTTATTTACCAACATAATACTGCCCCCAAAAAAAACGGAAGACTAAGATACACGCTTAAAATTGTAAACACCCTTAATCCACCAAGAAGTTAACATGCTCTTTACAAATGCAGGTGAAACTCTGAGTTCAGAGGCTCTGTGACTGCATAGAGGATGACAGCCCTGATGTGAGGCACCAGCACAATGGGGAGCAGGCATGGCCACCCTCATGCATGGCCTCATGTCAGCCCCATGCTGCCTTGAGACCCTGGTCCCTTTGCTGAGTGGCTGGAGGAAAGCAAAAACAAGCCATGGTGCTTCTAGGCACACGTGGTACGTGGGGCTGAGAGCCCTTCCCTGCAGCTCCGGTGCTGCAAGGGAAGGACCCCTGCCTAGGATCTGTCCTCCCCATAGGCACACAGCCAGGGCCACCCTGGAGTCTTTTCTTGTGTAAAGGCTTCTTGGGTTTAGGCACATAAGGTCTTTTTCAATTTGCTTCTCTATTCATCTCAGGAGCTGTCAGTAGCACTTCTGAATTCCCACGGAGAAAAGAAGTATTACTCTCCTAACAGGGGTACTGGGATGGCTCACACTGACCAGGGATTGCAGTGATTTCCAGATGGACACAGCAGGAGCTAGTTCAGGCCCCTCAGCACTAGGGAGTGTCATCTTTTTGTTTCTAGGGGGGAGCAAGAGCCATTCTGATGGCTGTACAAGCGTACATCATCAAATACCTGCTCTTCATGAGAACCACAGAATACACTCACCTGGAAAGGTAAGAAGATGAGCCTTCCCCTGGGACATATGGAAACTATTTTCTTGCATTATTTGAACTGAGACAGACTAGCACCAGCCCCTATGTTTAACTGAACTAGACCCATGTTCAGGTTTGGAGCTACAGGCAGGGATTTGCACCCAGGAGAAAAGCCTCATTTGACTCCAGACAAGGCTTTTCCCCCAAAAGACATTTGTTTTTGTAACAATGGTGCTTGCTCCCTTGTCCCACTTCCTGGCACCATGGTCACAGCCTATGGCAGCACATGGATAACATTAGTGCTGCACAGCTGCCCCACACCATGGGCAGCACTGGGAGAGAAGGCAAAGCTCAGCTTTTGGTGCTGGGATACCCGCATGGGACCCCCAGAGCCAGGACAAAACCCCCATGGCACACATGTTGCTCCCAGCACATGGGAAGCATATCCTTACAAGCAGCAGCAACAGAACCAAGAGAAGAGTGGAAATTTCAAGGACAATGGGCATTTGTTGTGGCTTCACAGTCCTCACGGACACCAGATAGGCAGGGCAGGGCATCTGCGGTTCAATCCAGCCTCTGCTGGGAAGGGCCCTATTCACACTCAAGGTCAACTCCAGGACTGGGGGGTCTGTCAAAACCCCCGAGGATGGGCCCTTGGCACAGACCTCCTGGACCCATCTTCTCTGCCCCATGCCTCTGCCTCCTGCACTGCAGGCTGTGCAGAGTAAGCCGACAGGAGCAAGGGGAGGCGCTGGCAGCTGCCCTGGCAGACACCCTGTGGGCAGCAGGAGGAGGTGAGAGAGCCGTGATCTGCCTTGTCACCGCAGCCATCCATGTGGTGCCCAGCAGCGACTACAAAGCCGACAACTTCACAGAAAGAGTGAGTATGAAAATGTCTTCTGCAAACAGGGTTTTCTTTAAAGAAATTTTTAACTAAATTCTCCTGAAATTTTTAAATCAAGAAACATAAAATCTCAGAAACCTGTTCCCTAAGTTATGGTGTGCACAAACTGTGAACACTTTGGACCCATGTCCCAGCTGCAGCCTGTGAGACTCCTCTGCTTCCTTGTAGAGGCTTTAGGTGAGCAGAGGGGCTGCTGTTCCCTTTCGTTAAAGGCTGAACTGTCTTTTCTCACAAAAAGGGGAAAACAGTTAATGTAAAGCTGTTCTAGTAACTCTTTGTATAGAGTTGAACTCCTGGGTTTAGGAGGCAGCAGAGTAGAATCCTGCACCATCCCTTCGTTTGTCTAAAGAAAACACTGGCTTAAAAAGCTCAGCTGTTTGATATAATTAATGCCTCCTTTACAACATCTTCACCTACCTTCCTGCCCAACAGATCCATCTATTTGAGTTTTCTGAGAAAGCAGCAGCTCAGGAGTTTATCCTTGGCCATATAAACTGCGTAAGTATGGGCTGGATATTAGCTTTATTCCGACTTATTTTGTTGCTAGTGTACATTTTATTTCCCATTCAAAAGCAGACCTTATGGATATCAATAGTGTTGCCTTCAGGCAGTTAGTCCATAAATCATTTCTAGCCTTTCCTATAGGAAATGATCCTGCTTCCACTAAAATCCCCACACTTCACCCATCAATTTCAGCTCTTCCAGTCCACAAACACCAGGCAAACAGGGACATTTTGTATATTACTTAAATATAAAATATGGCTTCTTGCAAATACTGTTTTTTTAGCAAAAATCTGGGGGAAAAGTGTACAAGACCAGTTAAGGCACTAACTGAAAGTTTCATCTTTCCTTTCTTTAACCTGATCCTATTCATCAAAATTAGTTATAAAATCTTTCTGGAGTAACATTTTATTCATTTAGCTCAACACACTCACCTCGGGTTGTATTGAAGCAGATGAATTGTTTCAATTAAACATCACATACCTGTAATTCACCCCCTGTGATTGTTTCTTTTTCCAGTTCAAAGATGAACAAAGTCATGGAGTGATCCTTTTTTTATACAGTTTACTTTTCTCAAGGACACTTGAAAGGTATATTTAATTTTTTACACTTTTTCCTCTAATTTAGTTATATCTTCTGATGTCTTTTCCTTGTTTTACTTCAATGTCCATTCTCAGTTGAATGTGAAAAAGCAGGGACAGATGCAGACACTGACGGCTGTGGTTTGTAGATGCAAATATAGTACACCCTGAGTATCTGCACATCCAGGAGGGCAGCAGAGAGGAGAGAAACCCTTTGCAAGCACAGCAAAACTAATGCTCTGTGTAAACCTGGGAGTTATCTCACTGACAGCAACTGTCACCTTCACAGTCAATTACACTTACACAGGAAAATCACAAGTTCATTTAAAGAGGGAAAAAATCTGCCAGTGTGACTGTGCTGGCAGAAGTGCCTGATAGGGTCTTTCTAAACCCAGCACAATTAGATTTGGGTAATAATGCTTTAGAAAGGCACATCTAATGCTTTAGAAAGAGACATATTTATTCCAGTATAAGACATGACTCAATGTGACACTATGATAGCTACTCTAGCAAAAAATTGCACCACTACTTCAAATCGTTGCATTCAGGCTATGCCTGGGCTGTAATCGAGGCCTTTCAGCAGAAATCACACCAAGGGTGACCCCGGCTCTGTCTGTAGGGGTGTAAATCTGACACTAGATTTGGATTTTAAGAGGAAGAGATCTGAAGCACAAGAGCTTTGGTTGAACATAGAGCTGCTGTGTCAGGACAGCACTGCTGTGCCCACAGCACAGACAAATGATAGAATCCATGGAATTTCTTCCTGTTTCCTGTTAATCAAACAATGAGGTATAGCATTCACCTCAGGCACTGATCCAGGTGCTACTGTAACACTTTGTGTTTGGTGTTACAGGGTCCAAGAAGACTTAGACTGCACCGCAACTCCTCTGTTGAAATGCAGTTTTGGAAACATTACCTGTACACAGGTAAGATTAGCCTCATTTCTCCACTTTTTTTTTTTTTTTAATTTATTTTATTATTCTTACATTTGATTTAGGAAAAAAATCTCACTTGTTAATCCAAGGAGGGATAAAGGGGAGTGTATGGTAATAGAAAAATATAATTTTAATCATGACAATCCATTTGTAAAAGGGATGACGATGATGATGACGATGACAATAAGAAAGCCACAGGAGACCTGGCATTCCTCTGCTCATGACAGACAAGACAGAGCTGGCAGTGGGACACCAGCTCCCTGTTGTGGAAGAGTCAGGCACTTCGCTCATAAGAGAAAAGCAATGATACACCTTATTGACTTGGTGTCCCAGACTTGGTCAACAGTTTATGTCCAAAGGAATATATATGTATATTTAATATATATTTATATATATATATATATGTACACACACATAACCCTTTCTATCACTTAGGCAAGATTTCAAAGTTTTGCATGTTATTAGTCACCATCACAGAGGCCCACAAAATTGACTTAGGTAGGTTACAAGCTTGAAAGGAAATTTATTCTAATAAAAAATAATGTACTGCTCCAGTATTAGTAAATTACAGATTCTAGATGCCAAGTGAAATCAAATACTACATGACTGACTTAAGGTTAAGTTTTGCAGGGAATAAACCAAAACTGCATTTCACTCACCAGTCAAGATTAGGGCCTTCAACCTCAGGGAGTTGCCTCAGGCGGTGTCCTGACCTAAGAGAGAGTCCTTGACTGCAGACCCACTGCTTTGAGGAGAACAGACTCAACTCTTCCCCTGCAGCAGGGCCCCATTTATACCCCAGTGAAATCTGATCTATGGTAAAAATACAGTCTGAGGGCTTTTGCCTAAAGTGTGGATCTAGCAATGGCCAGTTATACAACAGCCAGCTGTACAACTCTGTTGTGACCAAAATCACCAGATTTTGTGGTTACCTGAGCCAGACCAAAGCCAGCAGATATCTGTAAGCATTAGCAGATATGGTTTTATATTCTACTGGAGACCAGAGTAAGCAGATATATTTATTAGGAAGTATTGTGGCTCAACGGTTCACCCCTCAGGGTGGGTGCAGCTGCCACACCACCATTTTGTGAAGGGCATTTGCTGCCTCACAGCATGGCACGGGCTGTTTCCTTGCAGGCCGTGCTCAGCCTCCTCCTAACGGGACGAGCAAGCCCACATGAGCTTGATGGCAGCCAGGAGCTGGGGCCCAGAGGGGAGGGCATCGAGGCATGGCGGCAGCGGGGCTCGGTGGGCTACCTGCGCTGGAGCAGGGCACAGGAGGAGCAGCAGGTGAGAGCTGGCATGGCCTGTGGCTGGAAGGCCCATACCTGATGTCCACACACCAAGGTTTTGGGAACAAAGGCTATGTTCAATGCAAGGCTCTACTCTTTCTCCCCAGGTGTGCCCCAGGCTGAGAACACCGCGTCTGCCCATCTGGCTGTGCAGCATCACTGGGAGGCACAGCATTCTCTTTGGCACTGACAGCCAAATCCTCTCCGACTGGAAAAGGGAGAAAGTCTTCCACCTGTACTTCTACAATGGGCAGCTGGAGCAGACAAAAACAGCCCACCTAACTATAGGTATGCACCCGAGCTTACCACAAGGATATGAGGTATGGATGTCACATAGAGACCATGCATAGAACTATGTATGTGTAGAGCTAGGTTAGTCTACTTACACATACAATTCAATGTTCTGTATTTAACATACATACACATAAACTGTATCTATTATATTAACCTTTCATGGAATGTGAGAAATCTATTCCAAACAACAGTATAAAAAGACACAAGCAAAAACCTGGCTTTGAAAGGACCGCGACCATTTCGGAAGGGGTGATGCTCTCCAAGCATGTGGCCCATTGCTGGGAAGAGCTATGGAAATATTTGTTATAGAAGTAATAACTCCCAAGTCCCTGTGTAAATTCTAGTTGGCTGGCACCCCTCCTCAGCCCACAGCTGGGCACAGTGGACGCTCAGCACTGGGTGAAGCTGAGGTCATGCTGTTCCCCAGTGCCAGGGGCTGAGCAGGGCTCTGGTGGGCAGGCACTGGGTGAGCTGCCAGGAGAACAGAGTCCATCCCACCCATGGTGTGTGCAGGGGACAGCCACCAAGCTCCCCTCCCCAGGGCACAGCCTGCACTCTTGTCCTACCATGGGGCCACTCAGGACTTCACCGTTTTCTCCTTTACTCAGACACGGACAAAGAGTTTTTATTGGAGGAATGACAGGTTTTCAGGATACAGGATGTAACTGTTGCTTCTGTGTTAAATATCCAGTATGGACATACTGTTTAAAACCATTTCACCTCCTGTGATTATTATGCCCCCATCAGTTCAATATGAATGACCAGCTGACCAAGTGTTTCAGAACAACTAGTAGGAGCGAGAAAACCCACATACACTCTCCAATCACATGGAACAAATCCCAGGAGGATGTTACTGTAAGTGCAAAGATTAAATGCAACAGGAAATTTTATTTAATCATTCAATGATTAAATAAAGTTTTTGAATAAAACTATTCCCTAAGGCAGCAGTGCTGGCATGCAGGGTGGGTGAACATCCTGTTTTCAGTATCTAACTGAGACTTAAGTTTGTATTTTCCTGCCTACCAGGTGGGTGCCACCATGGCCATCATGTTTCCCCTCAAGTTTTAAATTCATATCCAGAGCAGTGAACTACACCAAATGGGTTGTGAACCTGTCTGTGTATTTAGGATCTAACTTTCTCCATGCCACTGTGCACCGTTTACCTTTACTTTCTGAATGTCCAGCCTCTTTTCCTCTCTCTCCTTTCACTACAGCATTTAAAGTAAGAAACTTAAAAACATCAAAGTAAAGCCTAAATGTGCAGGAAAGAAGGGCAAATCAAGATCACAGTCGTGATACACAGTGTGGCCATAGATAAGGAAGTGTGCACCTGTTCAGAAAAACAATATGCAAACATACCGTGGAAGGAGTTGTGAGCGGCATTTATAGTGCCTGAATTTCGCAAGCATGGAAGGCAGCCCCTGGGGAGGCTGTGTCGGTGCTGCCCTGAGCTGCCTCCTGGGGCAAGGGCAGGCAGCACACCTGCAGCAATCCAGCCAGCTCTGCTTTTAACCTGTCCTAAAACATTTTTTGAGAGGGGCTGGCTTTTTTAGACATTCTTTTTACTTGTGTTTCCTTTTCAGATACTCATTCGCATCACTGGGAAAAGGACCAAAGTGAAGACCCAAGCAGCCCAGGGAAGAGGCATTTGTCTGTGGAGATGGCAATCAGGACCAAGTGGGCAGGCGCGACCGTCAGCTGGAATGGGACAGATCCCTTCTTCTGAGGAGTCCTAGCATCTCCCACTTGCTGCCAAAGCCACCAAACACTGTGGTCTGGAGGTGAAAAACTTTCACCAATGAAACAACCTTTGGTGCCTTGGGCAAATGTCCTGTTCGGCAAGGCATTGCACTTACTGTGAAAGCCTGCAATGGCGAGGAACAGTTACTAGCAACACTGCCTTGCTGCACACATTTTCCAGGTTCTTCTGCTTCCCACGACAGCTGGCAGAAAAAGGAAAAAGGGTGGCAATTTGCTTTCCTCCCATGTCAGATATGTTAAAGAAATCAAGGTGTCTCTTAAGAGTGCAGTGGAAATGAAATCAATATTGAGCATCAATAATACTGTGTGCATCTGATTTATTTAATGCAGTGGGTGCAACTGATTTAGCTATTTGCAATGAGTAAGGTTTCCTCCCTAATCTCCACAGCTGTGACTTCTGCAAGCGGTCTCTCTCCTGCTCCAGCAACAGCTCAAGCATGGTCCCTGGCCAGGCTGGCTCACAGAGTTACCCTGCATCCTGCACACCAGCAAGGAAGCACAGCTTGTACATGGGAACCCAGGCAAAATAAGAGCCTTATGAGGTGCTCCTTGCTGTGAATTTATGACACCAAGCTAGGCAGAAGAGTTGATCTGCTTGAGAGTAGGAAGGCTCTGCAGAGGGATCTGGACAGGCTTGATCAATGGGCCAAGGCCAATTATATTGAGGTCCAACAAACCAAAGTGCCAGGTCCTGCAACTGGGTCACAAGAACCCCATGCAGTGCTTCAGGCTTGGAGAAGAGTGTCTGAAAACTGCCTGACAGAAAAGGACCTGGGGGTGTTGGTCAACAGTGGCTGAGCAAAAGCCAGCAGTGTGCCCAAATGGACAAGAAAGCCAAGATCATCCTGGTTTATATCAGAAATAGCATAGCCAGCAGGACTAGGGAAGTAATAATTCCCATATACTTGGCACTGGTGAGGCCACACCTTGAATGCTGTGTTCAGTTTCGGGCCCCTCACTACAAGTAAGGCATTGATGTGCTGGAGCATGTCCAAAGGGCAGTGAAGCTGGTAAAGGGTCTGGAGTACATCTTATGAGGGAACCAGGGGTGTTCAGTCTGGAGAAAAGAAGGTTCAGATGAGACCTTATCACTCTCTACAACTACCTGAAAGGAGGTTGTAGCTACTGGGCAGTCAGTCTCTTTTTCCAAGTAACAAGTGACAGGACAAGAGGAAATGGCCTCAGGTTGTGCCTGGGGAGGTTTAGATTTGATCTTGGAAAAACTTCTTCATGGAAAGGGTTGTCAAGCACTGGAACAGGCTGCCCAGGGAAGTGGATGAGTCACCATCCCCGAAGGATTTAAAAGACAGGTAAATGTGGTGCTTAGGGACATGGTTTAGTTGCCTTGGCAGTGCCATGTTAATGGTTGGATTCAATGATCTTAAAGGTCCTTTCCAACCTAACCATAATTCTATGTTTCAGCAATTTTACCTACTCTGAGTGTGGCCAAGTCCTGGTACCCTGCAGGGGCCTGGTGCACGCAGGCAGGGCAATCACTCCTCACTCACGTTAATTCCTTTCTGCTTCCTTTTCTATAGACATCACCTAAAAAAGACCTATGAGTCATACCAAAAGCTGTGTTGCTAATGACAACTGTACTGAGAACAATAAACCTTTCTGCAAGCAAGTGATCTAGAAGATTGGTTTAAAAAAAAAAAAAATGGAAAGGAAGAAGTGGTCACAATGAGTCTGAGATTCAGCCTGGCTGGGGCACAGAGCCTGCTGGCTAGCAAGCTAATGTGGGGGTCTGCAGCTGTCATTGCCCACCTTTAATTACTGCTCAAGAAAGAGGGTGGAGAAGAGCCCATGGTGAGGCAAGGGCCTTGCAACAAGACGCTGCAAGACAGCACTGACTTTAACTTGGGAATACCATCATGCACTTATGCAAATAATTAATAATGAATGAATGAAACTCTGTGGTAAATGCCAATAAAGCTCGGTCACCCAGCACAATGCCATATATTGCAAGGCTATATATGCTGTATAATAGCTAAACAGGTTACTACAGAGATAAAAGACCAGCCTTCCAGAGTTGTTTTCCATGGCAAGGCAGCAGCACTGCCCTCCCTCTTTCTCCCAACACACCATGGGGACAGTCACTGCATCTGGCCCTGCTTGCACTGGCTCTTGGCTCATGCTGCAGAGAGGGGCCCCAGGGCTCCTGAGTCCATGTAAGCCCATTGTCCTGCCGTGACTGCACCTGTGACTTGCTGCCAGCACAGGCAGGGGCAGAGTACTCCATCCCCTCAGCTATGCCATTGCCCCCAGAAACCTGTCTCTCACCCTGGCCCCTGCTCACTCACACCGTGCTGCTTCCTGTCCTGCTCACAAGACCAGGTTTGGCAAATGCCTGTCTGATTGCTAAAGACAGAAAAAGGAAGAGAAACCATGCTGCACCAGACTGCAGAAACACACACCCCCACCACCTCCCTCAGGCTTTAATACTTCTGCCCCCAACATCTTCATGTCTTTTTATAACCTTGCAGTACAAGGCTAAATTTAAGCTGCTGATTTCCCTCAATGAGAACTAAGCCCTTGCTCATTTCTGCAAGGTAACATCATGCTTATGCATGCTTTAAAAATAAGAAGCAATAACAGTATGATCTGGCTATTAGTCAAACTTGTCTGAAAAGCCTCCACAGTTCCAGCACCTCAGAAAGCTCTGTCCTCATGTCAGAGAGAACAGCTACAGATTTTCACTCCTAGTGTGGAAATTTCTTTGCAGAAGACAAATACACCTTTCAAAACCCCACATGCATCCCACAAATACTTGGGGGTGTCCTCATGCCCTGAAATACAGGAATATTTGGGGGCATCAGGGGCTACCTGGCAAAGAATGTGAGCAACAAATACAGACACACGCAAATGAAACTCATGCCACATCTCGGCACCCTTAATGGTTGGACTTGATGATCTTAAAGGTCTTTTTCAACCTAGCTGATTCTGTGATCCAATGAGTCAGTCTCAAGGGGAAAAAAGGTATCAGAGCCTCTGGCAACTTGCGAACAAGCTGCAGGTTTTTACTCCAAGGAAAAGGCTTCTGAGACCACACACTGCCTCTGGAGATAAATTCTCCGTTAACTTTCCTGGCAGGCAGGGAAGGTGTCAGGATGTGCCAGCATCTGGAAGTCTTGGCTGGGTGCTGCCACTTCCTTCCCAGCCACCCATCCATTGTCCTCCCCTCCACAGAAACATACCTTCAGGGGAGGTTCAAACATCCATCATTAGGTCCCTCTCCTACGTGGATCTAATTGCTGATAATCACCCATCAGCCATCTGAAGAGCTCTGAAACTGCAGAGAAGACAAGCAGACCTTATTTCTCTTAACACTGGTTTACAAATCATCTTTTATACTGCAAGCAATTATTCCAATAGTGTAGACACAGTAGCCTATGGCATTGGAGGAAGCCAGGTTATGGTTATCTCCAGAGGCTGGTGTCTTTGTTAGTGAGGATCAGTAGATGGAGAAGCCAGTGCCAGCCTTGTACTGCTACCATAAAAGTCAGTTGGAGAAATTCTCTAAGGCTCAATTTGGAGTTTTAGAAAGCAGGCATTCTTTATCACAGCACTGGGTGCACACACGAATCATTTTGCAAAGGTGAGCACACCCATTTCTTGCTGGCAGCAGCTATATATTTAGCATACTCATGCATATTTACAGCATATCCAGGAACTAATTATAGTATTTGCATTTTAATTATGTGTGTGCTTTCTTGCTGAGTGGGGGTCTCTGGCAGTCACCAACAGTCTTCCTCACTGTGTTTACTGAATGACCTCGGTGCTTGTGCACACTCGCAAGGTCCTAGTGCTGAGTTAGCAGTTGGTATGTCTTTGCTTCTGTTCTGTTCCAGTCTCACCCCACGTTGGGTGCCACTGCTATCTTGAAAGCTGGCTTCCTTGGTCCTATTTACTGTCTCCTTGGTTGTTATCAGTCCCATGATGTTTCTTCCCCTGTCAGCCATCTTTGGTCTTATTTACTGTCTTCTTAGTTTTTATCAGTCCCATGGTGTTCCTTCCCCTTGGCAGCCCCGTCATTCCTTTCTCTCTACATGTTAGTAAGTTACAATAAGTTACAATAGTTTGGTCTATTCTGCTATGTTAAAGGAACACACGCTATTGTTAGTTTAAAATTTAAGTCTACAGTACCTTTTGGGAACTTACTTGACTGGCTCAGTCTAACTGGTACACTCCCATTTATCCCAAGCAGAAGAAATGCACTGTATCCAAAGTACACTATATGTTGAAAAGGAGTCTTCGGAGATGCTAATAAAAAAACTGGGGTGGCTACATTCTGACTTTAAAAATATATATAGATTTAATACATATATACACATTATATATACACATATATAGCTTAAATAATGTATTTTTAAATTACCCTGTATTATTGAAAGCACTGAAAAAGTATATTTTATTTGTATAAACATCCCCACTATTCTAGTCTATTTGTGAAAAGGCTCTTATTTTTTCTCTTCCCTGTTAATATATAATATATATTATATATACCTTCCCCATTAATATATTATATATATATTACATATACTACAGAATATGTAAAAATCCACAAACCAAGTAAGAAGTCTTCTCCAAGACCACATGACTGTTCTGGCCTTGTTTTCACACCAGGCAGTGGGATTGGGGTTGGGGGAAAGTGACTCGGCACTCCAGGATAGAGACCAGAATCTCAAGGCCTATGAATATTAATTGTCTAATCTCAAAAGACACACTCATATGCCTATGCCAAGTGTCTCAACAGCTTTACAACCTAAGGAATCAAATTGTTCCACGTACAATGAGCCAAGAGCAACCACATACAAGAGGCCAAGTGCAACCCATCTACAAGAATTTCAGAATCATCTAGCATGATCAAACTAGGTTGGAAAGGACCTTTAAGATCATCCAGTCCAACTGCTATCCCAGGACTGCCAAGTCCGCCACTAAACCATGTCACCAAAGGCCTCATTTACGTGTTTTTTGAATGCTTTCATGGATGGTGATTTCACCGCTTCCCCGGGAAGCCTGTTCCAATGCCTGGCTACTGTGAGGTACGAACTCACTCCTGTAAAGGTTTTACTGAGGGACAAAGTCACTAAAGCAAAAGCAACAGCACTGGGTGCATGACTGTAGCCAGAGGCGCAAGTGATTAGCATCTGTTACAGGTTTATATACTTTCACTATTAGTTACATGCATATTCATAATTCCCGCATATAAGCGGGGAATATTATAACTAAATCCCAGAACTTATTATCATCAGTTCCCTCCTCTTGGCATCTGCACACTGCTCTCTGGTGATTGTGGGCAGGGGTCCTGGGCATGAAGTAAGTAGTCTTCCTCTTGTGAGTAGGGGTCTTCAAGATGAAGTAAGCAGTCTTCCTCACAGTATACTTTTCACCTTTGGCACATTTGGATGCCCCAGCAATCACACAACTAGCTGAAACCAGCTATATCTGCAATTCTTCTAATAACTAGCAAAGATTCAAAACAGTGTGACCTTGCTGCAAAATTTATTGCAGGAAAGGCAGACAAGGGGTATCCCAAGCTAGCAGATGTCTGGGAGGCTCTGTCTCTAAACTAACTGATAAGTAGAAGGATGGTATGAAATCATTCATTCATGTTTAGCGGGGCCACTAAATCCTGTTATCTCACCACAGACTTACAACACAAACATTGTTCTTTAAAACTAAAGATACTTTAGAAGACTAGTGTGAAACAATTAATTCGGCTTTAGCGCAGCCACTACATTCCACAGACTTACAACATAAACGCTGTTCTCTTTCTACAACCCAAGTTAAGCTAAAAAGTACTTTAACTCATGTTTTTCAGGCAATAGCTTTTCTTATATCAAGCCCCCCCCCCTTTCTTTTACCTTTACAAATTCTTTCGCTATGTGACTCCGTTTTGCTCAAGAGTTCTGGCCATTTTTAACTTGTTGTCTAATCTTGTGTCTTTAGCGAGCTTTGTTCCTGTTATTGTAAACTATACATACAGCTATATCCACATAATCACACCTATGATTTGCAAAAGCCAATACATTTATGTGTTTATCACACTACCCTTTCGGTGAAGAAATTGTTCCTAATAACCAGTCTAAAACTCCCCTTGGTATAACTTGAGGCCGTTACCTCTTGTCCTATCCCTTGTTACTTGGGAGAAGAGATTAGCCACCTCCTCTCTCCATCCTCCTTTCAGCTAGTCGTAGAGAGAGATAAGATCCCTCTGAGCCTCCTCCACACTAAACACCCCCAGCTTCCTCAGCCGCTCCTCATAAGCCTCGTGCTCCAGACCTTTCCTCCACAGGCCAGCAACCCTCGTACCAGGGTCCAAGCGCAACCCCTGCACACGGAGCCGACTGTGTCCCCGGGGGCCGCCGCCCTCCTCCGGCCGATAGGCGGGGTTCGGAGCGGCACTTGCTTTGCGCGCGAGGGCCGGCGGTGGGGCGGCAGCACCGTGGGGGCTCCGTTACCGCGGACAGCTCCGTTGCCAGGGTAACGGCCCCTCCCCGTGCTCCCGCCGCCCGGAGCATGCCGGGACCGGGGCGGAGGCCGCGCGCAGCCGCTGCTCGCTTCAGCACCGCCTCCTCCTTCGCTCCCTCTCCCTCCGGCGGCCCGATGGTGGTGGCGGTGGCGCGGCGCAATGAGCCGCCCGTCTTCCGCCGGCCCCGGCGCTAGCAAGCCCTGCAGCAAGCAGCAGCACACCCCGTCCCCCGCCGTGCCCGCCGCCGTCCTGCCCGGACCCGGCGGGGCTTCCTCGCCCCCTCCTCCCCCCCCGCCTCCCCCCCCGCCGCCTCCTCCTCCTCCGCATCAGCACCACGAACTGACCTCGCTCTTCGAGTGCCCGGTCTGCTTCGACTATGTGCTGCCGCCCATCCTGCAGTGTCAGGCCGGGCACCTGGTCTGCAATCAATGCCGGCAGAAGCTGAGCCTCTGTCCCACTTGCCGGGGCTCCCTCACCCCGAGCATCCGGAACCTTGCCATGGAGAAGGTGGCCTCGGCCGTGCTCTTCCCCTGCAAGGTAAGGGGAGGAGTGGGGGCTCTGGGGGAGCGAAAGGTGGCAAGGGGATTGGAATGTGGGGGTGTCCGGTCGGCCCAGCAGGACATATCCCCAGCTCTACCCCCACCTCCCTACCCTCAATCTTCAAGCTATCCCCACACACCCTTTTCCCTCATTAAAAAAACAAAAAAAAAAAAAAGAGGGGTAGCACAATGGTCAAAAGAAGGGAGAGAAACTTCTCATCGGAAAAGTTGGCTGCGCACAGTCACATTGAGTCCCCACTGCCAGTGGAAAAGCTTACCGGTTTGGGCGTTTCGGTATAAACACGGCGTTGAAACGTAGTGGTTTTGTTTTGAACAGCCGAGAGATACTCTTTCAGGGTGAATAATCTGTCAGTTCCAAAACGCTGTAAACAAGCTGTGGTAGGTACAGCGTCACATTTGGGTCTGCGGTGGCCTCGGATTTGTATGCTGAAGGCACCGAGGAGGGGAGAGCACACCAGTGAAGAGTTTCCCGGTGGGTTCATGTCTTGCCTTTGTTGCTAATGTGATAGAGAAATATTGCAGCTCATGAGAAGACTTTAAGGAGCTTTCTAAGCTTTATCCAATGAAGGTTCGCTTGGCAGTTTGTAGAACGCAATGATATTAAAAGTGCCTATATCAAAGATACCCTGAGAGTCTCTGGCAACAGCATGTGGGACTCATCCAGAGCCACTGCAGACAGCAAAGCTCTGCAAAGCCTTAATTTTTGGCCGGTCTGTATCCCCTTCTTTCCTTTATTTCCACCCCACCATAAACACTGAACAGCAAGGGAGGTGCTTGCTGGTCTCCATTACCCAATTTCATGAGTCTGCAGGTTTCTAAAGTGAAACAAGATGATGGGAGTGCCACCAGCCTTTAAAAGCAACACTTGTAATGCTTCTTTCTCATTCACTGAAAATCCTGCTCTAAACGTTGTCCTAGTATTTGGCACAACCAGTAGATAAAAAAGCTAAACCTTTTTTTCCCTCTCCACAGTTATTTTAACCTATGCTGATGCTCAGTCATTAACAAGTGGTTTATGGAGGCAACAGAAACTATTTGTGTCTCTCTTATTAGCTCCCTGCAGCCCTCCTTGGGAAGGACAGGGGGTGGTAAGCTGTCAGGTCAGTAACAATACCTTAATAAGTCTTTTTTTTCAAGTCTGTTCTGTTTTCAGGTCTGTTCTGTTGCAGAGTTGCATAGTTTAATACTATACCAAGTATTAAACATTGAAGTCTCTTCTCTTTAGTGAGTCTGTACTTCGAAAGAACTAAGTGAACTGCTCTATTGTACACATCCTTCCTAATAGACGTTAACCAGGACAGCAGATGTGTACATGCAGGCAATGCTGAGCAGGTCATTTTTATGTCTTCTTGGAGCCTCTCAATGCTTGTACCTCTGTAGTACCAAAAGCACTTTAAAAACATAAGCTGAAGCGACGGAGGGACAGATGATACAGGAACTGCTGGAACTGTTGCTGATGTAGAATATAAGAACAAAGTTTTAACATAGGAGCTGTGCATAGCAAGGTGAGGCGCTATGGTCAGGCTGCCAGTGGGACCAACGTGGCCAGAATGGGTACAGTGAGAGCTGTGAGCAGGCTTATTCCACCTTTACCTGGAAAACCCAGTCCCTTGAGCAGCTGTCCCCAGCCAGCCCATAGGAGCATCATTAAGGATGCACAGGGAGTAACAGCACCTCCAGAGCAAATTGTCTGTGTCAGTTCCTGCAGCACAGTGTGGTCCATGGCAAGATCCTCATCTGACCCAGGGCTGGCTGGGTCACAGGATGTGATGGCTGTCAGCGACTTGCAGAGCTTTTGACAGTGTGGGGCTGTTTCACTGCTCACCCTTAACTGGGAGGTGGCAATAGCAGATGGAGCATGGTGGTGGGACACCGGTCCTCTCTGCTGAACACAGGTGCAGTGGGTCAGTCTCATCTGTGGCGGCTGATATTCCCTGCTTGTCTTAAACGAAATGGAGCAGAGTCCTCACAACCCTTCATTGTCTGAGCCACAGCTCTGCTGCCTACAGGATGCCAGTTTTTCCAGCAGCCAAACCCCTAGGCAGGAGTCCCACCAGCTTATCCCCAAGTGCTGGGGATCAGCATCTTGTTTACAGACTGGGAGAGATTTGGCTCTGACCTGGTAGTGTTTTGGTGGTCTCTGCAATAACCCAAGGAGCAGCACGTGCTTTATGCTGTGCTGGTTGGCACGTTGGAAGCTGCAACAGGCAGGAGACTGTGGACTCCGAGCTTGGGACTTGGTTTGGTTTCCTGGTACAGTGCCTGTAAGCGAGTTAACAGCTGGTAGAGCTGGAGAGTAACTTTGACCCAGCAGTGGTCAGTGTGCTGCACCTCCCTGCTGCCCAGTGACATGCCAGTGCAGGCAGGGGTGGCAGCAGTCCCTGGCCCCAGCTGCGTGTGTGGGACAGCCAGGCAGCACTGCCTGCAGGATGCCAGATTCCCCCATAACACACTTCAGTGGTCACAGCTGCGCCTGTGAGTGGCCTACCTCAGACCATGGCCCCAAAAACATGATGCTCCTGAAGCCCCGCATCCCAGACCAGGCTGTGGTACAACCCACACTGGAGCATGCATCCTCCCTGCGTTTCAGCGTCCGCTCCAAGTTCTCCACCCCTCACTCACTGGGCATCCAGAAGCTCCTCACAGAGGTGTAAATAAGTCTCTCCTCCTTTTTGCTCACACACCCTCTCTTTTATGTGGCCTTTTTCTGCTGTGAGCAATTCCTGCTCTGCTGCTTTCACTGTTCCCAAGAGCTGCAAATTGAAATTAGCACACATTAATGCTTTTCACTCTCACTTTTTGAGCCCAGAAACAGCGACATGCTGTCAGGGCTGTAATTCTCAGTCAGTATTATGTAGGTCACAGGCAGCCAGCAGGGACGTGACCCACCATGTCCCTCAGCAGTGGGCATCCATCAGGTGCTGCAGCAGCACAAGGGGTTTTGGCAAGAACCACCCTGCTCTGCAGCAGCACATAGCAGCTCACTGAGGCCTGGCCCTGGTCTAACTCACCTGGGGGTTTCACCACATGAGAGGAACCCAATATAAGCTTTCAGAGAGAGAAAGGGGGGAAAGTCAGAGCTTCAGAAAATGTGAAAGAACAAATAGAGGAGCTGGTCTGTCCAGAGGAGGTCCCTGCTCTTCTAGAGACAACTGTGAATTGTTATTGCACCTCTGTGCATTACAGGGCTTCTGGGGAAAAAAAAAAAATCTATAGGAGGATTTATATCTTAAAGTCACAGTAGAGTTACTGAAAATATAAAATGCCTGTTAGTGCTGTAAGCAATCTGTGGAAGATAAAATGCACATCAAACACACTCAAAACTCCTAATTAATGAGTGCCAAAAGGAATGAATTGTTTTTCTTTCATCTTTTAAATAAGTTCAAGTGGAAAATAATATAGATGTGCTTTTTAATGATGAAGCTGCCTTAATTTGGACATAGATCCTTCTGTAACTTTGTGGCGTTTGTCGTATATGAACTACAAAAGAAAATAAATCTTATGAAATGGGAGCTTCTTGAACAGACACCAGAATCTATTTTCACAGCAGTTGGGTGAGGTATGCTGTGATCATTAACTGCTAAACTTGGAACCATGACCTGGCTAACCAAGCAGTGTGGGGTGGGAGGTGTTTCTCAAGTTAACCACTTCATCAAAAATCTATGCGGAAACAAGCAGACCTGTGAGTGTTCTCCTTTGTCACCAGCAGAACCGCAGTCCTCCTGTAACCACGACCATTAAGCTGACATCCGTGCCCTGCCATGTTTTGCTAGCCTGTTACGGCAGGGTTTGACAAACTGCTTGAGTGATCTTGGCATGACATGGGACCAGCACTCCTCATCTTCCCTGTGTAAAACAGCAGGCAGTTACAGCTTGCATTTCAGGGAACTAGAACTTGCCTCCAACATACAGAGGCAAAAAACAGCCCAGCACTAAGTAAAGAATATCCAGTAGCAAGTTCAATGTTTTTTACACCCTGAGAGCAGCCTAGCTGGGCAGCTGTATAGATGGCATTTAGCAGTGTGTGATGGGGAAATAAATATTAAACAAATAAAGAAAAATCCATCACCACCCCAAAAAAACCCCAAACCTGCTTCATAAGTATACCAGTGAATTCTCACTGTTGTGATTAATTCAATCTAACAATAAGTTTTACTTAAAGGAAATTACTTTTCTAGTTATTGCATACATTTAAAAAAAATTAAGTACCTCGGGCTTTTTCTGGGATTGAAACCCCATTCTCACCAGCTTTCCTTGGAGCGGTGATGCTCTGCATCTTGGAAGCTGGGAGAGATACTTCGCATGAAGAGAGTCTTCCGAAAGTCATAGTCATCTCTAACTGGAGATACTTCCATGTTTCTGAGTTTCCAGTTGATTCTGGTCCTTTTGAAGAAAAGTGAATCCAGTAAATTCATCATACTGTGCTCTTAGACGTTGCTTTGTGGAAAGGTTTTTTTGCATCTCATGACCAACATTGTGTTTGAAAGTGGAAAGCACAGTAAGACTGTATATAAGCAAGTCTTAAATTATCACTTTTAAAAATTTTGTTTAGACAAGTAAGTAGTAGGAGGTAGCCAGAACCACCTTACGTCCTTAGACCACTGCTGCTACACCATTAGTTTAAGAGAAAGCATGACAGGTTTCCCATGTAAGCAAACAACTTCCAAACAGAAATTGGATGTTCATGTTATTGTATCCAGACTTACTCCTGTATATTGTCCAGTGCTGCCTCTGTGGCCTATTAAGAGCTTTATTAAAAAAACAAAAAACCAAAAACCTATGTCATTTTAAAGATTTTAAGGAGATCTACTAAACCTGAGTGAGATCACACTTCCTATTTTCAACACACAGTAGACTCTAGTAAAGAGGGAGGGGAGGTTGATAAAAATGCAGTTTGTTTTGGTTTCAGTTGAACAGATACTCATTATACACAGGTGTCTGCTTACATCATGTTGCCTGCACATACACAAAGAGCTCACAATCTCTATATGAAACAACAGGACATTCACTGGTCCTGTCACAGGTGAGCAGTAACAGCAGACCCAGCACTGCTGGCAGAGCAGAGTTTGTAAGTGGTTTCTGCCAGGCCGCTGGCTGTGGCATGAGCCTGTTTCTTCACCTGTGCGAGGCTGTGGGAAGCATGGAGTCTTGCTGTTGTCTGGGCAGGGCCTCACCGTGCATCCCTGGGAGAGCTCTGCAGGATTTCTGCTAGACTAGGCTGAGCATCTGTGCCCAAACTGCAGTAAATGCTTCGGGAGGATGGAGGGATCTTAAAAGCAGAGACAGATGTTTTATGAAGCACTGGAGGAGGGAAAAGCACAAAAGGGTCTCAGTCCTAGCTGGGTCCCTGAATGTTGCTAACACACATACAGGAGAAGGCAGACCTCTTCTTTCCAGAATTACTTGTATCTCAAGCTGCTTGTACACTAGAGGGAGAGTCTGGTGGCTAGAGCAGGAGGAGTTTGAACTTGGCAGTCTGTTCCTAGCTCTGCCACTGATTTCCCATGTGGGTTCAGACAAGTTACTTTAATCCTGTGTTCTTGCCTGCCTTCATTTACAGGGTTGATAATACCAGCCTACTTCTGCTGAGCACTTGCAAGCTTAACTGATGTTTTCCAAATGCTTTAGGACACTCAGAAAGCTATACTGTCAAAGTGAAGCTCAGAGCAGCACACGCACAGTGACATACGTGGCAAAAACAAGGCATGCTAGGTCTTGTATGTAGTGACAAGTTCCAAGCTGATAATTTCCTTTTAGAAGGAGAATACAGTGCTAAACCATGAACTAAAACTAAACTGTGAAAACAAGTACATAATACTTTCTAGCTTGGAATTCTAGAAATGATGAAAAGGACAATAAAAAAGCAGAAAACAGTCATGCCAGCCCAGGCATTAGTGGCACACCTGCACTACTAGCATTGTGCACAGCCCTGGCTGCCAGTCTCAAGAACACAGTAGGGGTAGAAAAGGTGCACAGGCCAAGTAGCTCAAAGGTATCATATAACCTCTACACAGGGAGGGACGGAGGAGGCTTTTTAGGTGTATAATGAAGATCAGTGACCTTTGCCAAGCAGTATGAAGACAGCATGTCAGTTTTTGCTTTTCATGGTCTTCCACCACTGGTAGGGCTACTTATCAGATGAAACCCACAGCAAAGGGTTAAGCATACAAAAGGAGGTCCTTCTCAAAATGAAGGGAAAGTTACCACTGTTTGCTCATCTTGTTTTTACACTCTCCCTTCTGTAGTCATCACTGGTCACTTTCCCATACACATCAGGTTTCACTTAATCAGCAGCTTGTAGATTCTTACTGGTTTTCTTAATGAGGTTAGACTTGGAGCTGCTCTCTAACACCTGGTGTGACTGAAGTGTTAAACAGGGCTATGAACCCTGAAAATTCCAGCAGGCCAGTGGGGCTGGAAGCATGCACATAGCTGCGTGGCTGCATTATGCAGCAGGGCATCAGGCACAGCAGACCAGGCATTTGCAGGACGATGCCTTGTTCCACCTAAGCTCCCTGCAATAAAGCCATTAGCACAGGATTAAGCAGCAGGGGCAGACACTGTAAGTGAAGGCTCACATTAACACTTTATGGCTTATAAACCAAACTCCTTCAGAAGAAGGTTGAGTTGCTATCCCAGTATTCCTAGCACCCTGTTGCCAGCAATGGGTGATTTGTATCTTGGCATTTAGAGCTGAAACTTCCTGCACACATATTATCCCAGAAATAATAATTTATTGCTTGGTTGTATCTGTCCTCAAGGAGGTGTCATAGCATCTGTAAGCAGCCATGCATGCATGTTGTAACCTGCATGGTAGTGGTAGCAGCAATGTCAGTATCACTACTGATACCTACAGGTTGGGAGAATAGAAGAGACCTTTATGTCTCTGTGAAAGTAGCATGAAAGCAGAGTGGTCAGTGTGGACAACTGAACTGACTGCAGAAAAAGGAAAAGCAGCCTCAGCTGGTTAAGCAAATTAACCCTCTAAGTTGCCCAATTACATTAAAAGAAGTTAGATGATACTTATTTGTGTGCTAGCTTTATGCTTAGAGAAGTCATCCTCTTTCCACTTCTCACAATTGCAGTGTTGAAACTGTTCCAGTGTTTAAAAAAACCTATGGAGAATCTGCATTTGAATTTAATGGGAGTGTTTTTGCTCTGTGATGGTAATAAGGTACATCTATTAAAAATACTTCACTCTAGTTGCTGTTTGCTGAAACTAGAATCCTTTGTTCTTTTTAAAGAAAAGAAAAATCCAGACCAGGACCACTTCAGCTGATCTGGACCTATCAGATCTAACTACAACAGCAAATCTAACTACAACTCAGCCTTATACTCCATTTTATCTAAGTGCTTGCATTAGCAAAAAAAGCCAACTACACAAAGACAAGAAGAATTCATTTATAAGTGGAAACAAAAATAAGTAAAGCTCAGCTCTGAATCCGGGGCTAAATAGAAGCATCTAATGTAAAATTTGCAAAGAGAACAAGAATTCTGGTTGAGTACCTGTGTTTCCAGTTGCCAGGTGGGAGCAGCAAACACAAGTGCTGGTGCCTTTCTTGACAGCTTGTATTTGGTCTTTTTCCAGTATGCTACAACAGGCTGCTCTCTGACACTCCATCACACAGAAAAGCCAGAACACGAAGACATCTGTGAGTATCGTCCCTACTCCTGTCCATGCCCTGGTGCCTCCTGTAAATGGCAGGGATCCCTGGAAGCCGTGATGTCCCACCTCATGCATGCCCACAAAAGCATTACCACCCTTCAGGGAGAAGACATCGTTTTTCTTGCCACAGACATTAACCTTCCAGGGGCAGTTGACTGGGTGATGATGCAGTCGTGCTTTGGTCACCACTTCATGCTGGTGCTGGAGAAACAAGAGAAGTACGAAGGTCACCAGCAGTTCTTTGCCATCGTGCTGCTCATTGGCACCCGTAAGCAAGCGGAGAACTTTGCCTATAGACTGGAGCTGAATGGCAACCGCCGCCGGCTGACGTGGGAAGCAACACCCCGCTCCATCCACGACGGGGTATCTGCAGCCATTCTGAACAGTGACTGCCTAGTTTTTGATACAGCTATAGCACACCTTTTTGCTGACAATGGGAACCTTGGCATTAATGTGACTATCTCTACATGTTGTCCGTGATGTGTTTGCATAGCTAGTGAAACCTAGGCTGTCTGGACATAGTGCTTTATGTTCACCAATGGTTTTCTTTTGCTTCCCTTTTTTTTTTCTTTTTTAATGATATTCAACTATGCCATTGTGTATGCTAAGGTTCCTAACTAGCCAACATTTTTAACTTTGGAGAGAAGAGCAACAAGAGTGTCCTATAAGTAACATGAGTGAGAAAAGGTCTTTTTGAATTCTTGGGTGCCTTAGGAAGATTCCCCACACGCAGTCACCTTTCTTAATTTAATTATATTTTATTTAAGGAGTGCTTCCATTAGACATGTGGCTTAAGAGACTTGAAGGACTGCATTCCTGTTTGGAGCACACCCAAAAGCCCTTTCAGCAGGAACACAGACTTGCTCTCTCACTGGTGAGCTTTAATAACTGTTTTTAGTAGGTGGGAAAGAAATTCAAGCAACCTCTCACAAGAGAGGTGGTGACTCAAAGGGGAACAATAGGTACTTCAGTGTTGATATTCTATTTCCTGCTACCTTATTAAAAAGGGATGGGTGTTGGATCATGTGCTGGGGTTTTGAAAGAAAAAAGGGGAGGAGGGGTGGGGATAAAGCAGGGCAGGTTTCACAGTGTGGGAACTGCCAGCTCCTGTCCATTTTAGGGGAATGAGTGAGCCCAGCACATGGCACAGCCACTCACAGGCAGATACAGGTGAGAGCAGGAGGCACACATCCAATGCATCTAAACCAGCTAGAGCCAAGAATATAGTAATAAGCTGTTCACATGCAGCTTTCCTTGGAGACATACTTGACTATTGATTATTGTAAAAGACTAACAATATAGTGAGAGTTTTATGGCCAGTGTCATGTCATTTGCTATTTAAGTTTTGTTGCCATATTTACTTTTATTTTGTAATAAATATTTTGCAAAAACTACACTGCATAGCATGCTGTGCTAACGTGATTGCGTGACGGTAGCTCTTGCTTCCTGGTTAGTCTGTGCACTCTGCCTGGTTGGATCTGCTGGGCTTCCCCAGGAAGAGACAGGTCACCCAAGTGAGGTCCCCATTCTGTCCCCAGCTCTGCTGCCCGAGAGGGCCACACTGCAGTACAAGCAGGAGAACCGAGTCTGGATCCGAGTCCCAGGGGCAATAGCAACAGCCTGGCTCGTGCAAACTGAAATCACAGTCTGTCACTGAAGCTGAATCTGCTGCAGCTCTCCCTGTGCAACCAGTGCCTTCTGTCTGAATTGCTCAAGAAAAATACTAGCTCCACATATTGGCTTTGCTGAATATAAAGATGCCTGCCACTTGGAAGAGGCAATAGGTTGTGAGGTGATACACCCACTGAGTTATTTAGCGGTAGGAAGCCTCATGGTAGTGGAAAACTACATGTAAAGTAACAGATGAAGCTTTGTGTAAATAATTATAACACACAGTCCTAACTGTATCCCTCCAGGGAAGAGCTCCTTGGAATTATGACAATCCTGTATGCCTGGTGGTAGTTCCCAGAAAAGCCAGAAGAGAATGAGGGCTGCATCAGCAAAGGAACACTTGTTCTGGCCTCGAGAATGTGGAATTGATCACAGAAAAAGACCTCCCAAGGAATTACTCTAACCTCTTTGTGTTCAGTTCATATAGAGATTCTACATTTGATCTCATTTATACCATGCCGGCAGAACTCCAGCTGCATCAGCCGAGTGAATTAATTTACTCCTGCTTAAGCAGGATCAAGTCAAGCTTTGTCTCTGATAGGCATTAACACTTGTGCTTTCAGCAGAACTTGTTAAGCAAGAATTCCTAAGGATTTGATTCACTTTCCCATATTTCAGCAACATATATAGCAGAAGAGCTTTTTTGTGTAAAAAAAAAAAACAAACCTGACGTGTGTATTTGATTATACCAGGATTAAGGAAATTAATTACTTCAATGCTGCCTGTAATCCACATTAGATAATTTAACACACATGATTTCATTAGGTCTTTCTACACCATTCAGTTCTGAAGGAATGGCAAACTTCTGTTACATCTCACACCCAAAGAACCCCAGCACCCAGTATCTTTTTTGACAGACTGATTGTAGGATAAGGAATACCTCAGCTGGTACTGCCAACAAGTAATGTTTCCTCTTCAGATCAGTGAACATTCATTCATCACATCATTGTCAGGTGACATTCATTCCAGCACTCAGTTAAGGTGTTTCAGGGTTTCTTCTTTACACAGCTGGTATAACTTCCCAAGGGTGAAGTATACCCCTTCCTAAGGCCAGAAGCAGGAGGGACTTGCAGGGCACCAGCACCTTGTCAAGGGAAGCAGCAGCATGTCAGTAAATGTGCTAAAGCTCCTCGAAATACTCAGAAAAAAAGTTGCTGAGGCCAGCCTGGTTTTCTTAAGAAAACTCCTGACCACCAACAAAGCAACTGGGCCTTCAGGTGGATGGTGAAACATACCCAGAGAAAACTGCCCAGAGCCAGCAGCAGCAAGGGAACCCTCCACGCTGCGGGAAGCCCTTACTGCCAAGCCAGACTACAGCTAATGACATGTATACAGCAGCCCCCCTCAGCTGTGCTTCACCACCACCTGGAGCAGTTAATGGCAGGCAGCAATATGAGCGACCAAGATCTGCACTTAGGAAACAGTTTTTCTGTTGACAGTTCTCCTCAAAAACAATTTTCACTTTAAACACAAAGAAAAATGCAGAAACTCCTAGGGACTGATGAATTCATAGCAAGAATATGGCATAACTTGGATAGTTCCCACCTGCAACTGTGCCAGCACTAAGCCATGTGCTGCTGGGACAGTGTCTCAGCCTGTGCAGCGGCACTGCTTGCAGGAGCGAATGCTGTGGCAATACCAGGATCTGCACCAACCAAGCATGGAAGCAATCTCCCAGGACCCCAGTGCTATGGGGAGCTATCAGCATCAATGGCAGTCAAGCAGCATGTCCAGACACTGCACTAACAAACACCACTGGCTGCGCCTCAACATACTCCTTCCAGTTTTAAAAATTACTTACTTTGTTGTGGAATCCATGTGCTCATAGGACAACTGCATTTTTTTATACAAAGTCCAGATAATGTAGCACATATGTGCTGTCCTAAGGTAACTCTAAAGCCTGCATTTATTTGCAGATGATGTATCTAAAGAAAATTGCTACTCCTGCTTCTCCAAGCTGAAGTGCAGATTCCTTGGAAGAGTTCAACAGCATCTAGCCCTATAGGAGACATCAGCAACAGATGTCTGACAAGCATATAATGCAAATCATAAAATCAACTAGGTCAGAAAAGACCTTTAAGATCATCAAGCCCAACTGTTACTCCAGGACGGTCAGGTCCATCACTAAATCACTTAGGCAAGTGCTTTGGGTGCAGTTAGAAGTTTGTGCCCAAACAGGAAAGTCACAGCAAGTTCCTTAACCACTGCTCCACCTTCAGCCTTGCTCCCATTCCGTGCAGAAGGCTGCAGCGCACCTCCGGTAGCTCACCAGGTTCACGGCAGCTGCGTGCTGAGGGCTGCTGCCGCGGCAAGGCAAAGGCAGGAGGGCAGCGGCTCTGTGGGCACCCTCGCGGGGGGTCCTGAAGCACCCGCACCACCCTGAACACCTCCATCTGCCCTGGAAGCCGTTTACGTCCGTCCACACGCGACCGCAGGCTCCCGATCCACCGCCTATAGGGCACGGCAGCACCCCCTCAGGCGTACAGCTCACACCTGCCCCAGCAGCCCCCGCGCCTGCCGCGTCCCCATGGAGACGGCGCCCTCCAGCGCCGCCGCAGCGGGCTCGGCCGTGCCATGGACGGTGCTGGCCGGAAACGGGGCCGGGTGGTTCGGGCAGGCCGGGCCAGCACAACATAGCGCAGCGCAGCACGGTGCGGTTTCTCCCTGCGGGTCTCCTTGCAGCGTCGCAGGGAGGCCCCGCTCTCTGAAGAGAGACGGACAGGTCGGTAGCGGGGGCTGCGTGGAGAACCGCGGGGAGATCGGGGAATCCCCGGGCGGCAGGCCTCTCCCCGAGGCACTCTGCTGCAGTGGAGCAGGTACTGACCGATCTCCCTAAAACCGGGGGAGGGAAGGCGGAGGGGAAACCGGCCAACCGACCTTGGGCCAGCTGGCACCTCCCGCCTCGGTAGCTAAACCGCTGCCAGCCCCGTGTACTGCATCTACAGCTTTCGGAATTCTAATTAGACACATTCGGAAAAGTCTTCTTCCTCGGTACAATGGTGCAGGGCAATTGCTTTGAAGTCACTGTGTGGAGCTAACAGGTGAGTTTGTGGGGGAACATGGGGCAGCATCGAACCCATGGAGATGCAGAAGCTGCCAGGAGCTTCAGTGTCGATGCAGAGAGAAGCTGGCTGGCTCCACGAACACTCCTACAGAAAATCAAGTAAGAAACAGCTTTGTTCAAGGAAGAGCTACTCACTTGTATTGTCTTTCACTCAAGCTGCCTCGGGCTTTCATAGAAGACTTGTGACTTTGCACTTTCCCAGAGAGCCGCTTGCAAAGTGGCAGCAGACCTGGAGCAGCCTCCAGGAGCCCCTGCTGCAGCCCCCTCGTTACCCTCTTTGCAGAGCCACTTCTAAATGAACCTGCAGCACCACTCTGCCAGCCAACAGGCATAGGAGTGCTCAGCAGATGGCAGAAAGAGCGTACTGTATTCCTGTGAGAGCTACTGGCAAAGCCTCTCAGGAGAGCTGGAGGTATATCAACCTTTTTTCTCCTCCTGCTCAACTCAGCCATCCCAGCATGTGACCGAGTAACCAGCTGCTTCTCTCGCCTGCTGAAGTCTAGCACTGTACCTGAGGACACAGCGTGTTGGTGGTAGTTGCTTCTTGGCCCCACCCCTTTTGGGCACCCCATCAAACAGCCTTTGTGCTTTTCAAGTGTTCAGGGTTTGTTTGCCTTGGCAGTCCTGGAGTAATGGTTGGCCTTGATGATCTTAAAGGTCTTTTCCAACCTAATTGATTCTATGATTCCTTTTAAACACCAGGCAGCTCTGCTCTGTTGGAGAATGCCGCATCTCATGTGCCTTGAAGAGCAGGAGTGATCAGAGCCACAAAACAGCACACCAGCTGAAAGTACTGGAGTTAGCTGTGTGCAGATCCATCCCAATAGGAAGGGGACATGCACAGCCTACAACAGATAAACATTGCTCTCTTCTCACTTTGGAAGGATGTTTGTTTGGAAATGCACTGTGAATGTGTTTGCAGGAGAAAACACTGTAGGCTTTGTACCTTAGGTGGAGCTTTACAAGTCCTTGGGGTGACTGAGGCTATAAAACAGAATAACAGTAAATCATCTACTTGGGTTTGGAGGCAGCAGTGGTAGATAGAGATGATTCAGAAGCTGCAAAGTCCATTAGAGAGGGCAGAGTAAGAAGTGGAGAGTCCACCTACCCTGAGTACTGTGCCCTGGGTGCCAGGCTTCCCTGTGTCCCTCGGTGCCATGGTGCACCCAGAGGTGTGCCCTGCCTGCACAGCTTCACACCAATGAAGCACCAGCACCATGCACTTTCTGAAGTTACTTCTTCTCAGGTGGGATTTATGATCAGCTACACTCTGTGACATAGCTTGATTGCTGTGGTGATAACTACGTGTCTTTGAACTGCAATTCAAAAGAAGTTCAAGCAAACCAGCATCCACATAATTCAGCCTTCTAAAAGTATAAGCAACTCCCATAGCTTTGCTTTCAGTTTTCCTTCTGTGTTGGTGCATTCAGTCACTTCCAGGTGCATTCCTGAGCTGTGGGTCCCACTACAAACCTAGGAAGCTGGGTGTTGACATGGGGCTGTTTTGATTTTTATCCCATCCTTTTAAATACATGTTCTCCTTTTTTCATACTTTCCAAAGAGAAGGACTTAGAAAGATTTTGGTGTTTCAGCCTGCCCAGAGTTTCATCTGGCTGAGTATTTTCTGGAAAGCAGAATAAGCTTACTTGGAAGGGCAAGACAAATTGGGTGACAACAAGGGGAACTGAAATTCAAGGCTAAAAGGACCTAGAATGTGTTAGTTTGGCTGAAGGGGAGGCTGTAGCAGTTGGCATGCGAGCCATGTTGATGTTCAGACAGGAGATGATGTATATGGGAGAGCACATTGCTGTGCACCTGAGGTAGCTGGATGTCAGCACTGCTGAGGACAGTGCTAGACACCCAGTCATCTGAGATGTTTTCTGTCACTCCAAAGGGCAAAGAACCCTTTGTTGTGTTTACACAGCATGGACTGTACTTAGAAATGAGAGAAAACCTCAAATGTCTCTACAGCTCTTTCCTTTTAGGACTAGAGAAGCTGGAAATGCTTTAGAGGATAGTGCAGTATTAGCTCAGTGCTACCAGTCACTGACCCTCAGCAGTAAGCTGTCTCCACGACTTCAGTGGGACACTTTTGTAAAGCCCTGATCCCATGTCAGTGCCCAATTACAGTCCCTCAGGCATCTGGGAAGGGTTACATGCAGATCCAGGTTGCCCATCTGAAACTAGTAGCAAGTCTGGCAGGAAGGCCTGTCAGCTGATGTGATCGATGAGAAAAGGCTGTCATGCTGAAAGAGGAACAAACCAAATATGTCTAGAAGATAAGTTTTCTGAGAGCACAGCATGGCAATCTGGTAATTCTCACTGTCGCTATTACTTGCAGCCCTGTAAGAAGAGTCCAGAAGCTTACATGTTTTGTGTGACATGGAGGTAAGGACTTACCCAGGTTGCATATATATGCTTAAGGGGCTTTCCTCTGAACAAAGATATGACTCCAAATTGCTTTTGTTATTTTCCACTTTGAGTTGGAAGAAGATTTTGTGAAGCTGTTCAAGAAATCACTGCGCACCTTCCCATCCACTGGCCTGCCTAGCCTTCTGGCCTACAGACCTGAATCGTTACGAGAAATCTTACAGGCTGAGGTGAGTCAGGGGTAGATGTTCCCTACTGTGTGGCTTTTGCTGTTTATTTCCTATGATTCCCATGTAGAAAAAAATAAAAATAAAGCCCTTTGCCAAGCTAGTGCAGGAGTTCCTTTACAAAAGAGTTTTTCTTCTCTAAGGCTCTTAAAATTATGCTATTGTGCACTCCTGAACGCAAGAGGCTGTGCAACTCCTCTCCCCAATGCTGCATCCTGTGTTGAGAATTTCCTAGCAGAAGAATTTGCCCTCTGGCTAAAACAGTGGTACAAAGTTTGTATAAATATTAGGTACACTGTTAAAGAATTACAAGAAGGGCATAGAGTTCCCCGTAACTCTTAGCAGAGTAAAGTCATCAAAGAGCTAGGCATGATAGGACAAGGGGTAACGGGTTAAAACTTAAACAGGGGAAGTTTAGATTGGATATAAGGAGGAAATTCTTTCCTGTAAGGTGGTGAGGCACTGGAATGGGTTGCCCAGGGAGGTTGTGAATGCTCCATCCCTGGCAGTGTTCAAGGCCAGGTTGGACAGAGCCTTGGGTGAGATGGTTTAGTGTGAGGTGCCCCTGCCCATGGCGGGGGGGTTGGAACTTGATGATCTTAAGGTCCTTTCCAACCCTAACTATTCTATGATTCTGTGAGGTGAGGAAGCCAGGGAATTTCCAAGAATAATACTCCAGAGAAGCCAAGTATTTCAAATTAATATGTTCTTTTCTGAAATTGAAGGATTTGAATGAAAGTGTTAAACACATGGTATAGTAAATCAAGTGTAAGTGAAGCACACCAGCTAAGTGGCCTGGAGCAGGTACCTACCTTTCACCCCTTGCTGCTGCTAACGGATTGCTCTCAAGCAGCATTGAGCTTGGTGTGCTGCCCTTGGGAGTGGAGGCATTAGGCAGCACACTCACTGGAATAACTACAGTTATTCCATTTATTTGAGGGGTTTTACTTATTTACTTACTACAGAACAGCTTTTCTTTTTGGTAGTTTCCTGAACCTAGTGTTTTGAGTTAAATTGTCCCAAGATATCACAGACACAGATCTGTTTTAACTGCTCTTACACATTTTATGATGTTGCATTTTTAGCATAGCCCTCTTTCCCCAAGATAAAATGAGGATTTGTGTGCTGATACTATTATTTTTGTCCTCCCCATGTTCTCTCTCCCTACCTCCACTTCAGATAGAAGAGGACTTTGCTCCAAGATGTGAGTACTGTGGCAGCCTGCTGAAGCCGTTCCCTTCCTTTGAAGACATTTGCCCACTGTCACAGGATTATGAATCAGTAAGCGGGTGGGAAAGATTAGCAGAGGTTGGCTGTGGAAAGGCCTACTGTTATGGCACCGCTCTTCTGCCTTGCAGAAATTTTGCTGTGAACATAATCGAGACCTCTTTGAGTTCATTGTGAATGAGAAGAAGATATACAAAGGCACCTGGAACATTCTCACCGATGTTGGCCCCCAGAAGACCTGTGAGGGGAAGACCCACAAAGGTGCCTGGAACATTCCCGTTGATACCGGCCTCCATAAGTCCCATGAGAGGAAGACCCATGAAGGCATCTGGAGTGTTCCCATTCATGTTAGCACCCAAGAGTCCCATGAGGGGAAGACCCATGAAGATGACGGGAGCATTGCTATTGATGTTGGCTCCCATGAGTCCCGTGAGGGGAAGACCCATGAACATGCCAGGAGCATTCCCACTGATGTCATCCCCAATGAGTCCCATGGCACCGAAGTCAACAGGCTGCTGTCAGAGGAGAGGGTGTATGAGAGGTACCGTGAAATGACTACAGGGGCAACCAGGGATCTGGTCTGTGTAAGGTGCAACAGGCAACTCTAGGGAGAAAAGAAGCATTAAGAATATGAAACTGCAGGAAGAGGCAATGAGAGAAGAAAAAAATTTGCTTTAGGCAACACAAGTTCACATTCTATCTGCAGCCTCTTTGTTTTTCTCCTATCAGGCTGTAGTAGAAGGTGGGGAGGTATGTCTTGAGTAAAGCATTAATTCTACTACTTTCAGACATAGTATCTAGAGACAGGTAAAGCCAAAAATATAATTGCAGCTGTGGGTGGGATAATACTCAGGTCTAGCTTTACCCCAGATACTGAAACAAAACTTGAATTTGTGTTTCTCTGTTTTGCTGCATAAACTGTGACCATGCATTTGGATTCTAGTTTCCAGTCACGAGAACTCTGCAAGTTTGACTTCTACTGGGCTGTTCAGTAGGTGGCCCAAATCCAAATATCCAAATATCAGAGTCTATTGCATAGGCTTAAAGAAAAGTAAATCAGTATACCTGGACTTAAACTGCTAGCTTGCTTGAGCATCCTTTGCAGTATTATGGTGTCAGTACCTCATAACATGTGCAGAGCAGAAACCAAAGTCATTGTCACACACTGTCAAATTTACAGAAAGCTAGGTAAGGAGAACAGTCAAAGTATTCTTGGAGATTAGTTGTTTCCTTGATCTTGGAAAGCTCTCCTCTTTCACAGAAAATCTTGACACACGATCCATTACAATGTTTCGTCTGTTCATTGAAATCTCTGTAAGGAAACAATTCCCTTTGGTGATACTCCATTGACTCTAACTTATATTCAATTGTGTGACTGGAGAGCAAAAAAAAAAGATTCAGAAAGTTGCATTCCTATGGAAAGGATACCCAATGCCTCTAGTTTTCAAAACAGGATATATGAAACATCTCAGGAACACTTTCATTTCCAGGCAGGTGGAGAGACGATCAACCAGACAGTTATTTTTGCAGGCAACAAAGGCAGCACTTGCAGCTAAACGTGAGTTTGCATTTCCTTACGTATTTGTCTATTTATTACAACAACGAATTCAATGGAATTGCTTGTCTCTAATGCTCTTTAATGGAACAGGAAGATTTATACAATGACACATTAGCTCATTGTCAAGTGTGCAATCCCATTAAATTAGATACTGCCATATTATATGGCACGAAAAAAAACAAAACCAGTTACATTCCCATTGCACTGAAAGGATCTCCTTGCTGTGACTTTCAGTATTTAAATCTGACTGTTTCAACTGAGATGCACAGAAATTTACTTTAGAGAATAATGAGTTGGCAAAGCCAAGCTCTTGGAAGGAATGAACTGCCAGAATTAGGGGGATCAACATTTTGCCTAGTCATGTGAACACTCCACTAAATCCTAGCCCAGTCTGTGAATGACTGAGCAGCCCTTTGGATCTAGCTATAAAATTAAAGGCATTTTGAATAAGAACATATGACTAGATTTATAATATGGGCATATTTTCACAGAAGATGGCAGGGTACAGAGGCTTTTGTGGCACCAGGGATTTCAGATCATCAGTTCTGCAGAGCATGGAGCCATGAATGCTATCCAAAGAAAGTCATACTACCTCTCTTTTCATATCTCTGAAATAGCTGAACACTGTGGACTGTCCTTGTTAGACAGAAAATACCTTGAAACAGACTCCCAGGATGGAGCATTTCAGCCAGAAATCCCCACTCCAAGTTACAGCCTGCCTGCCATCAGCACTGCCAGCCCTACCCAATGCACACAAACCTTCCCTTTTCTCTCTAGGTTTAAACGAACCTGGCACAATTTTCTACCAGCTTTCCCTGGAGCCCCCATCACCAAACAGCTGGACACTGATGCCTGCTGAGAGAGCAGCAGAACCCAAGGAGGAGCCCATCTCCTATAGTATCACCTGCTGTGATTTTACCTCTGTTGGTGGAAAGGCAAGTAGCTGCTGCGGGCATGTCCAACAGGATGTGTCCATGCTCTGAAGTGGCTGGAGCTTGGTGCCTGCTTGCCTTTCAAGGGCAGCTGGTGCAGGACTGCTCTCATCCATTTTATTGTTTCTCTTCCAATCTTAGGTAGTGAAGAATGAATTGCTGGAAAAGTACTACAAACATGGGGGGAAATTCCTTACCATGCTTCCAGATGGAACAGTGCAGTTATTGTATCCTTTACAGGGTTCATTGGCCTGCCTTAGTCCAGGGTTGCTACTGTAATTTTGCATGAGTCATAGGCTGCTTTATCACCGAATACCCTGGTCCACCATTCACATTTGTTTTCACAGTCTGGAAAAAAAGCAGTAGTGAAACCACTTACATAGGTCTTGGTCTGAGGTTCTTCAGATCTGCCAGTAGCTTCCATGGAGGACAGGTACTTGTGCCTTTAATACCCAGCTTAAAAAATGTGCTAGCTCAGTGTTTAGACCCACTCCTGAGCTCTGGCCACCCATGGATGGGCACTGCTGTCTAAGTGGGCTCCCAAACCATTCAGCCCTATCCTTCCCACAGGGACAAACCAGCACATCATTTCCCATCTGCACGGGGCTAAGGTCTCTGTCCTGCAGGCAGGAGTACATAAAAGGTGCACTGACAAACTGAAATTAGTGTAACTAAGAGTATTGCTTGAAGAAATAAAAACATGTCAGTTTCACCAAAGGACCCCATAGCTTTCAGGCTGCCTTTGCCATTATTTAAGCCATAACATTTTAAGCCACCCAAGCTATTTTTCCTTACTGTGGCTGACTTTTTTCTGACCTGGGGGTGTATGAAAGTCTACCTGAGCTCTGCCACCAAAGCAAACAGGCTTGAGACTACTTCTTTGCTCTGCCCTCCAGGCTGCCTTGGTCCCAGGGATGCTGCTAGGCACGGAGACAGCAAAGTGCCATAAGCACATGTGCTTCCAGTAGCAAGTCTTGCTGAAGGGAAACTCTAGTGAGACACAAAATACCTCCTGCTCCAGTCAGGTTTCTGTGCCAAGGGCCTTTTTTCTCCACATTTGTTTTCTTTTCAGCTCTGGGAGGGTAATACCTGCCCCGTTTCCTCTGTTGTCATCAAAGTTGAGTATTTTTAACACCTCGCTTTTTCTAGCCTCATACTTTCAATTATTAGCATTGTCCAGGAACATGTCTTTAACATAAAAACTTGCTAAGCAGTTCCGTCTGGGTTATTGGTTAGAAAACAACAAAAATGTATTCTGCATCTCTTTTGCCAGTGTACACAGAGTACTTCAATGTAGCAGGAAAGCACTGGCAGTGTCCCAGGTAACACTGGCAGCACACCATCATTTTACACAGTGATCTGGTTAATGGGTCCATTTTTATACTCCAAAGTAGTGCTCTGAAATATTCAGAATGTAATATTAGACCAGGCAAAGAAAGGAGTTACGAACACCTTATCTGACAACAGCTATCCCTCTGGAAACCTGGCAATCATTGTTGTACAGAAGAAAAAATGTTGTGTTTGCATAGTACAGGAAGACAAGCCAAGTTACGCTGAAATACAAGCAATATTTAAGTCTGATGGCAGAAGTACTTGCTATTACCCAAATGGATCTGTGTGGTATGTTTAAGTTGGTCAGAGCAGTTTTGCTCTCCACTGTGCTTTTTATATTTCAAAGGTCATAAAGGGTATTTTTAAGAGCATTCAAAAATTAAAAGACAAGTATAACAGCTCGAGGGCCTGCTTCAGGTGCCTCTCAGAGAGGCAGGGCCCCCCCAGCTGTGTCTTGAGAGGGAGGGGTTAGACCCCAAAGTAGCTGTGCCTCAGTCCTGTCCCTCTGTGGAAGCTGCCATGGGAGCTGCAAGGTTCAGATCTTTGATTTTCCTCTCTTTTAGGATACACATGAGCATTCAGGGAGGGCAGTATTTGGACCAAGCAGGCAGCAGGGTGAGGAGGTGGACATGGCCAAACAGCATCATGTCACCAGGACCCCATGTCCCGCTGAAACCCATCTTCATCTCCCTCAACCGGCACGTGGGGGTCAGGATCCTGGGCCAGGATAAGATCACTGTTTCCTTCCTTGCCATGGGGCAACAAGCAAAATTCAACGTGGGAACCAAACTGCAGGTATTTCTCAAGTGCACAGGTAGCTCCACACAAAGTCACTTTCCACCAAAGGAGCAGGGCAGCCAGGGAAGCTCCCATCCATGGGGAAACACACTTACTTCACAGTGGGTGCTCCCTATGTTGCCCCATGGTCCTGCCCCCCAAAACAGCAAACAGTGGAGGTGTACCTGTGCTCAGGCCCATGCAGACAGGGGGCTGCAGAGTGCAGGAAGCACTTCCAGGTAGGTCCCCACTGTCCCTGCCTGCATCCCTGAGGGTCACCCTGGCTCTGCTATGGTGAGAAGAGCTGTGATCCACGAGGGCACAGGTTCCTGCCACAGGGGCAGGTTTGACTGCTGGGGAAAGACCAAAACCCTGAAGCCCTGTCCCGTGCTGCTGCAAGGCTGACACCACTCACCTCCTCTCCCCAGGTCAGCGATGTCAGCCAGCTGCCTCCCCCTGCTCCGCTGAGTGAAGACGAGCTCCTGCTGCTTGCCTTCAGGGTGAGGATCCTGCAGCTCTTTGACAGACTGCGTGGATGCTTAAACTTTCCTTCTAGTGAGCAACGGGACAAACTGAAGCCTCCAGCATACCTTATCACACAGACGTTGAAGATCTTACAGCTTTGCACAAGTTCTGACATAAGCGATGAGCTACGCAGCTCAGTCAGGGCAATAATAAATGCTGAAGTCTGACCAGCAAGTGTAGTGTGAAGGCAAATCAAGCTGGAGATGCTCCTGATGGTGCAGCATCTGCACACACTCAATGAGGTTTTGCCTGCAGTCCTGCCCTGCTGTCACACAGTGCAAAGGGCAGCCCATGGCCATTCTGCGTGGCCCCTCTCCTGGGGCCTTCCCACCTCAAGGTGGGCTGACCAGTTGTTTCAGCCTATGGATGTGGCACAAAGGTAAAATCCAATAGAGCACAGGTAAGCTACAGCCCGTGACAGGTATATGGGTAGATGTTTACTCAGAAGTGACCCACACAGGGCCAGTGCTTCTGCCAAGGACACAGCAGCAGTGGGATGCCCAGACTTCCCTGGCACAAGCACTGTACGGCAGCTCAGCCTGCCGCAGGTACAAGACACAGTGGTGCCCCACGCACAGAGGCACAAAAGCACAGTTTGTCCAAAGCAATCAAAGGTCATTGTCTTGGCAACGTGTGCGTGGGTGCCAGGGATAGGAAGCTGTTAATGCGCACGGCAGAGAGCACGGGCAAGCCGCAGCCTCTTGGCAGCAGCTCGTAAACAACCAAGGCAGGGAGAAAGCTGCTGCAGTGGTCACCCTGTGCTTCCTTCCCACCGTGGGCCCAGCGGCTGTGAGCAGAACGAGCAGGCGTGGTGGGGCATGGACCCCTCCTGAAATGGTTACCTCAGGCTGGCCCCTGCCCCAGCTCCAAGCAGTTGGGATGTCTGAGGGAGGTGCCGTGCCATAGGAATACGTGCTGCACCAGGACACTGCTCCGGGCACCAGAGAGCCAACAGCCCAGGCTGCCGTGTACAGCATCCGACAAGGGGACCCCTCTCACGGACAGCGGTATGTGGGGAACGGGGAATGTCAAAGGAACACCTCCTCAGGCCCAGAGCTGCCCTGGCTAGTGCAGAAAACCTTGAAGGCCAATCTGCCAAGGCCATGAGAGATCAGGGCCCATTGGAGATACCAGGGGAGCAGGGTGATGCTGGGGGAGGGGTTCCTCACTGTCCTGCCTTTTACAGGTTCTCCAGACACATGTAAAATGAGCTTTTACTCAACCACAACGCTAGTAGGAAGGTGCACAGTAAATGAGTCAAAAAAAATTCCAGTTCACGTAAGATTAGGCTCTGGAGAAACATACTATTCTAAATATACAGATTGGGAATGTAAGTCTACCAGTCCAACACAGATACTACTTGCTACTTCATGTTCATGACCAGCATATAAGCTGTGTTAATACCACTGGTAACACCACGTGGAAGGGGCTCACACCATGCCACCATAGCCAGGCAGCCACACACAGTGCCTGCCAGCCTCCACCACCTTGAGAAACACCTTGCCCCCGGGAGAGGGACAGTGGCAGGACTGCTCCTGTTCACACACATGGACTCACCCTGGTCTCACCTGGGCGTGCCAGGCCTGGGAAAGGGCAGAATCTCAACCTTCAGCAAAATAACCAGGGTTTAGATCCACACCAAAGCCTGTAACACAACCCACTGGTAAAAACTGCCTTCTAGAATTACTGGAGGGGGCATCGGCACACATGCACCCCCAACTGCCCTCGCCTCCCCATGCCCAGGCAATTCCAGCCTTCCCCAGTAATCAAGCAAGGGACCAACCTCCTGTGCCACAAGGCCCAGCCAGAGCAGCACCCTGTGCCACTCAGCCCACCTCCTGTGGAACTCTGCAGGCTCAGCTGTGGTGGCTTGGGTGACAATCTCCAATTAACTGTCTTCTAGATTCTAAGTCTTTGATTTAGAAAGATGAAGATCACACCTGGGAGTTTAATTTAGACCTGCTATGCCATTTTAAGTCCATTTTCTAGCAGGACTGCATCTGATTTACACCAGCGTGAGCTGAGACGTGAGCACAGATCTCTGCTGTGAATGGCTTACCTGTAACGTCCCGTTTTTCTACACTTGCAGTGAGTGGGAAATGAGCCCCATTTTTTGTCCTTCTCTAGTCTGCGTCCAGACCTGTATCATCTATCCTTGTGTGTAACAAGCCAAGATCAACAAGCTTGATCCCCTCAGATCTATTATTTAATACCCACTTTACACACGGGTGAAAGCAGTTAAGTGTTCACACAAAGCTAATTTACATAAATGTGTCTTTACACCTTCATTTCAAATTCACAAAGTAGGACTGTACAGGAAGGAAGAGCAAATAGCTGCAATGTCAGCACCAGGACAACATGAAGGTGCCTGGGCCCCCCACTGCCCCGCAGCAATGCCAGCAGTTGGACCCTCCTCCACAAAAGACAAGACGTGTTTAGGAAGATGATGCAAGCAGGAGAAACCCTTGCAGCATTACTGAACCCACAGAATGTGCGGAGAGCCCCGCACTGAGTATTTCTGGAGGCCAGGAGAGCAGTGAACAGAAGCAGTGTACACTCACCCAGGTCTGTCCTCCCAGGCACTGCTCAAAGCAGGCTTCCAGGCTACAGCTCTCTGTCAGCTAAAATTGCCCAGCTGGGCTTAACGTTGATTTCAGGAAACACCCAATTTCACACTGGACCCAGTTCTCCTGGTTAAAACATCAGGTACAGTAACCAGTTAGTGTCTGGCAACAGGTTTACCAGAAGCCTGGCAGGCATTGCTGTCTCCAGCGACTGTCAAGGTTCTGTAATGGACATTCTGTTCCATTTTTCCTAAACGCTCTCTGAATGGTGATCATGGGCCTTGGTCCAGCCCATATACCCAAGCCTGCGCTATGCACCCGACAGACCAGAGCAGTTACAGATACAACCAAAACACCGCCCAGCCTGCGACACAACCCCATGCCAAAAAAAAGTGCTTCTGCTGCATTGGAGGCACATCAGCAGAGGTGCTCACACACCGAACACTCATGCACTGACAAACCACCCGCCCAGGTGGGAGGGAAGGGACAACCGCGGGCAGCCAGCAGAAGGTGAGCAATTACCATCACTAGGGTGACACTGAGAACAGCTCGTGGAAAAATCTTAACCTAGCAACACATCCGTGCACTTATTTGCTTTCTGTCTAATTATTTCCCAGAAGTGCATAATTAGTGAGAAACTAAAACTCTAACCACACTAGAAAATGTTGGTTAATCTATTTCAGAAGAGAAGGCACAAATTACCTGAAGGGATGATTTCATTAAAGTCACGCACAGTGGCCTCAAGGCTGCCTCAGCAGCTGCAACGAGCAACACCTCTGTAACAACTGGCATGGATCCTCCATCAGCTGGGTGGACAGAGCTTTGGTTACACACAACACCCCCTACATCAGTCCCTAGAGACTCAGGGAGTGTCAATAACCATTCCTAAAGACCATGGCAGCTGCCTCTGTACTCCCTTCTCACCCAATTCACTGCCCCAACAATGAGAATCTCCCTCCCCGTTCAGAGACAACATTTGACATGGTGGGTCCAGGAGGTACTTCCACTGGTTTTACAAGGGGGGGTGAAACCCTGTAGCTCAGGAACAGGACAAAAACCAGGGTCGGCGGCAAGACAGTGCCAGGACCCAGCTCCCACATGGGTGCCACTGGAGCAGTGGCTCAGCCATCCATCCTGGAGCACTGCATGGCCCACAGGTACCCAGTGGTGACCAGGAACTGAGGACCACAGGCTGCAGCCAGCAGCTCATATCCCAGGGAAACTCCCAGCCCCTGCAAGAGAAGCACACCGGGACTCAGGTCTAACCCAGCAGCTCCCTGGAACGGCAGCACCTGAGCTCCAATTGCAGCTGGGCTTCAGGAGAAGAGACAAGAGCACTGTGCTCCTTCCAGAACACAGAGGCTGTCAGGGGCTTCAACAACACAGACACAAGATTAATGACTTCAGAAGGTAGGCTTTTTATACTTTTTCTTTCAGTTGCAGTTCTAAGAATATCCATCAGTGACTCAAACAAGGTACTTCACACAGTAAATGAGAACTCTTTATTTAAATTAACTTTCCTGGTTTCCAATTAGGACAGCAGAAAGGCCCAGCTGCTCCTCTCTTCAGAATGGTCAAGGAAAAACCTCTTGAACTGGCCAACACAATTTAAAGAGCAGTTGACCTTAATTTTTACTGAAGTCACAAAACAATGTAACTACTCTGCAAATAATTTTGTTTATATAATTTAGTATATAATGCACTGTTCAACTCTGCCATATATTCTGAAAAATATACAAACTTGCTTTAACCACATTAGAGATATCTGCCAGAGAGCTGTCACTTAACAGTTTAGGACAACATCAGACACTCCTGTAACTTCATTTTAAACTACAAAAAGAACATAAATTCATATAAAATACAACAGATTAAACAAACATTTTTTTTCCAAGGAAAAATTAGGTATCAACTCAATCTGCGATCCTGTGAAACATGAATATAAAATAAGTTACAGTTAGTAATGCCTGCATTGCTGAGCTATGAACTGGTCGAATGAAATCTTAAAAAAACTATACAGTATTATTGCACTCTATGACTGTGCAGGGCCTGGAAACACGCCAGCACTGGAACAGCTCTTTCATTAAGTTTTTCTCAGGAGGCACAACGCGGCTGCGAGAGAAGCATCCAGTCTGTACTAACAGCGTGCTGTCTTCAGTACAGGCCTTCATGGGTCTGCGCCGCGCTGCCTTTGGAAATTGCCACTTAATGCCTGGAAACGGAGACACAAGCGTTACAGCTGGCAGCCACGCTGGCCCCAGAGAGCAAACTGCCCCTGACGCTGTCAGAACAGAGCAGAGGCAGTTGCTGTATCTTGGGAGAACAGCAGCCAAGCACGCTTCAGGTTAGAAACCTGAACTACCAGCACTGTCCCTTGGGAGGCTGGAACTCATGGCGAGAGTAGTCAGCATTTAATTCTGGGGTACCTCCCAGGGATACCATCAGAATGACTCGTAGTTAGCTTGAACCGACAAGGAGACACTGAAACACAGAGTCACTGAGCTTTACTATCAACCCCTCCTCACCTTTAGTGTTACTTCCCACATGAAAATACAACTGAAGGAATTTTTTGTTGCCATTGTTCTAAACTCATCCCATTAAATTAAATTCTAC